CTGTAGCTAGCTTAGGTCCTAGATCATTAGTCTGTCCGTCCGGAGGAGCGGATCCCTTTCTCATATGGGTCTCCCTCCCTGTGGGTTTCCCTAGTTCTCCTCCAAGGTTTCTCACTTTTTCCCACTGGGTTTTTTAAGAGTTTTTCCTTGTCGATGCAGGAGGGTCTTGTTGGACAGTTAGTGTCCAACAGAAAGGATTGGTGATGATCAGGACACTTTAGCATTCTACAACATGTATGGACATTTTCTTCTGTGTGTGCTTTATACTGTATTCTTCATGTGTTTTAACTGTTGATTCTCTGACCTGTGTTGGTGATTTCAATGGTTTTGTTAAGTCCTCTGAGATGACTTCTGTTGTGACCTAGGGCTATACAAGAATAAATTGTATTGTATTGTATTGTATTGTTTTGGTAGACCCAGCAAAAGCGTATTTTCACTGCTCCATTACATAGTATGTAAATCCACCCGTAAATCATGGCTCCATCATGCTTCTCCGTTACCTTAATGCTTGTTGGTAAAAACAATTACAAGAAGGGCCTGTTAGTTAGTTCAACTATTTGTTTACTAGTGATGGGTCCAGCAACACTGATACACCGGCGCATGTGCCGAGTTCGTTTAGCGAAACCTCGTATCGGCGCGCGTGTCGCTTTATGAAAAAGCCACGTGACCAATACAGCCGCAGTGTCGCTTGTCACCGACACGGCAAACTGTGTTTAAAAGGTTCCGCATCTGCAAGTGTCACCGGTATGAACCGCTCTCAGAAAAAGAAAATAACCCTTTCAAAAAGGAAAACATCCCATTTTACAGCATAAAAAATGGAACTGCCACTAAAAGAAAGTATTCTGCAGTGTGATACTGCAAATAACAGCAAATAAGGCAATGTTTGTATTTTACATTTCACGCTTTATCTACAATCCAGCTTTAGTTTGAAACGCAAAATCTAGTTAGGCATGGTGGATGAGTGGATAGCGCTCTCGTCTCGCGTTTGAGAGAACTGGGTACGAATCCCTGTCGGACCTCAAAAGTTTATGTTGACATCACAGTCTTGAAGAATAATTTTGAGACATTGAAGTGCAGAAAATGTCAAAGGTTTTTTCAAGTATACTTTAGTTGCCAGGGTTTACAGTGCACTTTGGACATGCTTATTGTTTTGAAAAAACAAAAAACAAAAAAAAAACATCACTCAATGACATTTTGCTTAATGAATACATTCACAACTATCACTTTAATTTTCACATAAAATAAAATAACACAAACAATGCAGTTACGTAATATTGTGTGCAGACAAGTATGTAAAGCTCATTGAATCAGTGAGTTGGATGCAATGATTTATCAGATCCACCAGGTGTCAGTATAGAGCAGCACAAGCAACACTGTTGCGGCACAGTATCAACACAGTTTGTTGGATGTGCCGAAACGATACGTGAGGTTTCATTTACCCATCACTATTGTTTACTCTTATTTAGCTCATTCCAAGTGTAAATGAACTAAGGCTAATTAAAACACCATTTAATACAGCACTGAGCACAAATCCGTCAGACAAATGGTGACTTACCTTCATAGTTGAACACATATTTTTCCACAAACAACTTGTAGCCCTTATCCAAGTTTGAACATGTTGTTAGTGACAACTCAGATGCTATCCGTATCACGTCCCCCATTGTCATTTTCGGCAAATTCCGCAAGGATTTGGAGAAATTGGTCGCGCTGGCCGAATCTATTCTTGTCGTCCTTTACAGAAACAGCGCACCGGAAGTCGTCATACCCGACATTTCATTTACTTCCGCATTGTGACGTCAACCGTGAAATAGGCCTATTGTCTGTGAAACTGTGTGTTATTGCTCTCTGCTGTTTCTTGCTGCACACAGCGCCGCAAATGGCGAAGTGGCACTCTCTCTGCCAAAACAATTTACAAGTGGTAACTTTATTACTGACGTGGCAATAAAAATGATTGATTCTGATTAAGTCCAAAATTACTCCCCTCAGCATTGACACACATCTGGGCAATAGTTTGTTGCACTAAAGTGTGGATTTAAAGAAAACGGAAGTGTTGAACAAGAAAATAAGTTGAGGATGACGAGGGACAGTAAAATTTCCATAAAATCTAACCTTTATGAAAGCTGTAGGTTCTCTGTCAGCTGTGGTCGAGCAAGTTTTAGCTGTTTTAGTTTACATTGAGTTCTTACATTCTTTCTGGTAGCCCAGAGCCGTGAATGCAGCACGGTGGGACAGCTATAAGCTAGTAATACCCTATCCAGACATTATCACAGATCCATTGATTACAAGTATGTCAGCGCACGTGCTCATGGACCTTTATGAGTTTATTGCCCCCTACTGCCAGGCTGGGTCACTGCAGACCTCACTTTGTGATTATTATTTTTTTCAAGCCGCGGTTAAAGATCTACTAAACACCTGTGCCCAGCCTGACTTCGCCCACATGAGCATTTGAACATCCTTTCTAAAGGGGCCTTGCCTGGAGGACCAGGGGACAAGAAGCGTCCTTAGAGCTGGGCGTGGTCTGGGCTGTGATTGACAGCTCGTTTGTCACGCCAAAAAAAAGAGTTGTTATTGCTGCTCAAAGCAATAAGAGGATCTTGGAGTGACGTCGTTGTTTATAGTTTTTCCGCACCGGTCACGTGACCTGAATGCTAGAGAGTTAGCTATTTTTAGACGCTTGGAGAGAGGTTTTACAAAATCAAATGGTCCATTCTTGTTGTGTGGTCGGTTGTACGCCCGCTCGGGCCGATTAAGTTTTTTTCGAATTCTTTTGGAAAAGAACAGCGAACAACGGCCGCGGTAAAGTGGTTGCCCTTTTATGCTGTTACCTTCGGTAAACGTAGAACGGGAGGCCGGGGGGATGAGGGGATAAAAATTCATTAACAAATTTAAGTTTTGCAGCTACTTTCACTGCGGACTTGGTCACTGTGATTATTGATTTTAAACCTTGCATTTTGGTTGCTCATCCCCGCGGCTTCCTGTTCCACGTTTACCGTAAATAACATCATAAAGGGCAACCCGCTTTTAATATGTGGACCACTTTACCGCAACGGCGAAATGCCGGGCCACTTTACCTCTGTGAAAAACGCAAGAAATGGATTTTCACCACGGAGCCTTCTCGCGTGAGGTCCCGGGTTTTCTATGAAGTAAGAATAAATGTCTCCCAGCAGATCTGTGCCAAGACAGAGACCAATGTTTTTTCCCGTCATCTCAGGTCTCATCTGGGCCTTGAATTTTGCTCAGATCGGTCTTAAATATTTATTTTTAGCTTGTCTTTATATCTCCTCTGATCTTCTTGCGTTAAAGTGCTTATATACAGTGCTATTCGCACGCTGAGTCTTTTAAAAGTACTCGTATCCATGTTTCAGTATGTGCCGCTCTGTCTTTTTGCCAGCAGCGAGGGGCACATGCGCATGCGGTTGTGTAAACAAAGATCCTCCGATAGTTTACACACCAGAAAGTCTCGTTCTACCTTTGTTTACACACTGAACTGTAAAGCTACACACCTGAACCTAAGCCACTGAATTATCTCAGCAGTAGTGGCGGTCAACTGATGTAATTTAATTTTAGTCCACTAGATGTCGCCAGAATACTCCAAATCGCAACTGGGGCATGTGAGAGTTGTATGGGTTTATACCCATGGATCTATGATAATAACCAGATTGTGTATTAATAGCTTACAGCTGTCCCACCCATGGGCACAGGGGGCGCCGTGTTAATGCAGACTAAATTCACACGGACTACCCAGAAAAACGTCCCATAGAACTCTATGTAAACTAAAACAGCTCGACCACAGCTGACAGAGAACCTGACAGAGAACCTGACAGAGAACCTGCAGCTTTCATAAAGATCGTGTCCCTTGTCATCCTGAATCTTTTTTCTTTAAATCCACACTTTACTTCCCCAAACTCTGCTCCTTTCCTTCCCGCTCTGACTCCGCTCTTCTGCTGCTCTGATCAACAGCTCTGATTGGTCAAAGCACGACCGAGCCCCTTTTTGCACGTGCATGAAAGCCACACATGCGTTTTTGGCGCAATCCATCATGAGAGATAATCCACTGCACAGAACCGGGAGGACCAGACAATGCCCAAATATAGGCGAGTTCTGTTAATCTCCCGGTCTCCGTGAAGTCCCATGAACCACTGAGCACAAGCCATTCATTTGAATAGGGCGCCATCTTGGATCACCGGGGCTTGCGTGTATACCGCTTGCGCAGAGAGACTCAAATCACACTGTACCTACTGACGTCACTCCAGAGCCAATGGAGAGGCCAGGCACAACATTCAAATGTAGTGCCACCAAGAAGGTAGAGAGAGCGCCACACAGACGGTTTTAGGCTCTAAAGTGGCTCCCGCTCTAGGCTCCTGCTCTGGCTCCTGCTCTGGCTCCTGCACTGGCTCTTGCTCTGGCTCCTGCTCTGGTTCCTGCTCTGGCTCCTGCTCTGGCTCCTGCTCTGGCTCCTGCTCTGGCTCATGCTCTGGCTCCTGCTCTGGCTCCTGCTCTGGTTCCTGCTCTGGCTCATGCTCTGGCTCCTGCTCTGGCTCCTGCTCTGGCTCTTGCTCTGGCTCTTGCTCTGGCTCCTGCTCTGGCTCCTGCTCTGGCTCCTGCTCTTGCTCTGGCTCCTGCTCTGGCTCTTGCTCTGGCTCTTGCTCTGGCTCTTGCTCTGGCTCTTGCTCTGGCTCTTGCTCTGGCTCCTGCTCTGGCTCCTGCTCTGGCTCCTGCTCCGCCTACGCCCCATTCACACCATACTCTAGCCACCACCAGTGCTTGACCCCGGGGGATTTGAGATCATCTTCAGCTGCAATCGATCTCATCGCTGCAAGTGTCACTGCCGAGGTCAATGCGCAAAATAAATAAATCATCCCAACGTATTAATTGTGTCTTTGGTCTCTTCAGATTGAATAATGACTAGAACATGTAGAGATCATTATAGGAAACATATTTATGCTGAAAAAAAGTTGATTTGTTCGAAAAAGATATTTGTCAAAAACACACTGTGTCACATGTCTGTAAAGGAGATGTGTTTGAACATAGAAGCAGTCCTTCACGAGAGCCCTGCAGATGTGGCTTCACACCACTCACACCAGAGACAGAATCAAATGAAAAAGGAAAACCACTGGAGGAGGAACCAGAGCTCTCCTCTGCTTTCACCCGAGCAGCAGCCACTCGCCTGGTGACTCTCTGGGCTTCAGCACATCTGGTCCTCTGGAGGAAGTCATGTACCGCAGCTTTAAACGAGTCTGATCAGGTCTCCTCCTCTTTCCTTGTTTTCTTTCCTTCCTCCTTGTGCAGAGGCGTGGAGCAAGAAATCAAACCAGAGAAAGACCGTACCAGATCTGAACCAGGTCTGAACCAGGACTTGCCCAACCTGGACCTCAGCAACATGTAAGTCCCAAGACCAGGTCTAAACCAGGTCTGAACAGAATGACACTAAAATTCAGAAGTTTGAAAAGTTTTCCCATGACCTAAATGACTCATGTTACTCTGTCCTGTTTTACTACTAACGGACTACAACCAGTACTACTGCTTCTGCTGCTTCTGCTGCTTCTGCTGCTTCTGCCGCTTCTGCCGCTTCTGCCGCTTCTGCCGCTTCTGCCGCTTCTGCTGCTTCTGCCGCTTCTGCCGCTTCTGCCGCTTCTGCCGCTTCTGCCGCTTCTGCCGCTTCTGCCGCTTCTGCCGCTTCTGCTGCTTCTGCCGCTTCTGCCGCTTCTGCCGCTTCTGCCGCTTCTGCCGCTTCTGCTGCTTCTGCTGCTTCTGCTGAACAAAGTTGATCTGTTTTTTTGCTTCTGGAATGTGTGGAATTCCAGAGTTGACAAAACGATGCCATGTGTTTGTGTTACTGACCTCACAGACCCCCGCCCCTTCTGTCTCGCTGCTCTGATTTACAACTTGTTACACTTTTCTGTGAGAACAATGTCGACGTAAGAGTAAAGTCCAGCTGTGTCCATAAACAACTACATACGCACACACACACAGATAGACACACACACAATCACACTCACACAGGAAGACGCACACACAGACAGAGACACAGAGACAGAGACACACACACACATACACAGGGAGACGCACACAGGAAGACGCACACACAGACAGAGAGACACACACACACAGAGACACACACATACACAGGGAGACGCACACACAGACAGACACACACACACACACACACAGATAGACACACACAGAGACACAGACACAGGGAGACGCACACACGGACAGACGCACACACACACACACACACAGATGATCATTTAAAGTAATCAGAATGTTTACTCTATATCTAAACATTATTGTAAAATGTAAAATTATATATTTATTTGTCTTATTGACTTTTTCTTGTGTTTTCCGTGATTTTTTAACATTGCACTTTAAACTGCTCTGTAAACACATTGTGCTGCTCTGTAAACACATTGTGCTGCTCTGTAAACACATTGTGCTGCTCTGTAAACACATTGTTCTGTACAAATACATTTTGACTGATTGATAAAAAAACACATTCTCAGTTCTCTGCAGCCTGAGGTCTGAGTGTTCTAAATAAAACCACTTCCTGTTCACAAACTTAAAACTGCAAACGCACAGTCTGTCGGAAATCAGTAGATCATCCTCCTGCTTCAGCATCAACTCCCTCATGTGCCGGTCTCGTACGCGATGTCTCGTACAGGATAGTTTTGTACGTGAAGGTCTCGTACACGACGGTCTCGTACACGACAGTCTCGTACGTGACTAAATACTTTTTTTTTCAAAGTGTGTGTGTCTGTGTTTACGTTTGCAGTGTGTAGAACTGTATACTTTGCATTTTAAAGAGCTCATGTGTCTCCTCAGATCTGTGATGTCATAGAGTGCCCGGATCCAAGATGGCGGCTGCGGGGGCCCAGTCGCGGAGCCTCTTCAGGAGCGTCAAGGTTTGTGACTCTGTGTGTCTTTTATTCTCACATACACGCTCAGCCATTGCTCTCCTCTCAGTCCTTTGACCACCACATCTAGCCCTCTCCCTGCGAGCTGGTTTCTCTTTCTCTCAGGTCGCTCTGTGGTCTCTCTGGTCTCTTTGTGGTCTCTCTCTGGTCTCAAGCCCACCATAAGACCCACTTGACGAGTCCCACTGATGACTGCTGTCGTTGTGTCCTTGGGCAAGACACTTAACCCCACTTTGCCTGAAGCCCCCACTGAAAGATCTCAGCTCCTGTGGACCTGCAGGAGGATCAGTGAGGGGCTGGTGCTCTGGGAACTGGGTGCAGCTCTGACTGCTACCCCCCCGACCCAGACATGGATTAAGAGGAAGAAGATGGATGGATCTCTCTGGTCTCTCTCTCTCTGGTCTCTCTCTCTGGTCTCTCTCTCTGGTCTCTCTCTCTGGTCTCTCTCTCTGGTCTCTCTCTCTGGTCTCTCTCTCTCTGGTCTCTCTCTCTGGTCTCTCTGGTCTCTGGTCTCTCTCTGGTCTCTCTCTCTGGTCTCTCTGGTCTCTGGTCTCTCTCTGGTCTCTCTCTCTGGTCTCTCTCTCTGGTCTCTCTCTCTGGTCTCTGGTCTCTCTCTCTGGTCTCTCTCTCTGGTCTCTCTCTCTGGTCTCTGGTCTCTCTCTCTGGTCTCTCTCTCTGGTCTCTGGTCTCTCTCTCTGGTCTCATCCTAATGTGTCTTTCCGTTGTTGTTTCAGTTCTTTGTCCTGTGCCACTCGGTGCTGCAGCTCTCTCAGCTCCTTGTCTCCGGTTACATGAAAAGTTCCATCTCTACCATCGAGCGCCGGTTTGGCCTCTCGAGCCAAAAGGCCGGACTCCTCGCCGCCTTCAACGAGGTCTGGACACCACACACACCTGCAGGGGGGCGCTGTCACTTCCACTGCCATTTTCTAGAACAGGATCCGGAGCACCAGAAGTGACAACCCCCCCCCCCAAAAATGATGGGTCTTTCTCTCTCTCTGGTCTCTGTCTCTGGTCTCTCTCTTTAGTCTCTTTCTGATCTCTTCGGTCTCTAACTTTGATCTCCCTCTCTGGTCTCTCTTTATGGTGTCTGGTCTCTCTCTAGTCACTTTCTGCCCTCTCTCTCTTGTCTCTCTTTCTGGTCTCTCTATGGTCTCTCTCTGGTCACTCTCTGGTTTCTCGTTCTAGTCTCTCTCTGTTCTCTCTCTGGTCTCTCTCTCTCTCTGGTCTCTCGTTCTGGTCTAACTCTGGTCTAACTCTGGTCTGTCTCTGGTCTGTCTCTGGTCTGTCTCTAGTCTCTCTCTGGTCTCTCTCTCTCTCTGGTCTCTCGTTCTGGTCTCTCGTTCTGGTCTGTCTCTGGTCTGTCTCTGGTCTCTCTCTGGTCTCTCTCTGGTCTGTCTCTGGTCTGTAAGTAAGTAAGTTATTATTTATATACCGCCTTTTCACTGCAGATCTGAGTCTCAAAGCGGTTTACAATTGTTAATTTTGGGCATTTGTCTCTCACTCCACACAGAGATGGGAGCGGGGCCAGTACAGGAGGCACATGCCAGAACTATTGGACATATTTTTAGTGGTAGGGGAAACCGGAGTACCCGGAGGAAACCTACGCAGACACGGGGAGAACATGCAAACTCCACTCAGAAAGGCCCTGGTCCGGCCGGGATTCGAACCCAGGACCTTCTTGCTGAGAGGCGAGAGTGCTATCCACTCAGCCACCGTGCCGGTGGCTGAGTCTCTGGTTTCTGGTCTCTGGTTTCTCTCTGGTCTCTCTGGTCTCTCTCTGGTCTCTCTCTGGTCTCTCTCTGGTCTGTCTCTGGTCTCCCTCTGGTCTCCCTCTGGTCTCCCTCTGGTCTCCCTCTGGTCTCCCTCTGGTCTCCCTCTGGTCTCTCTCTGGTCTAAACCCTGTCTCTGGTCTCAGGTGGGGAACACGGTCCTCATCGTCTTCGTCAGTTTTTGTGGCAGTCGCGTTCACCGCCCGCGGTTCATCGCAGGAGGCGCTGCTGTCGCTGCGGGCGCATCTCTGCTCATGACCCTGCCCCACTTCCTGTACGGCCCCTATGAGTACACAGGACCCAACCATGGTGAGTACAGAGAGACCAGAGAGAGAGACCAGAGAGAGAGACCAGAGAGAGAGACCAGAGAGAGAGACCAGAGAGAGAGACCAGAGAGAGAGAGACCAGAGAGAGACCAGAGAGAGAGACCAGAGAGAGAGAGACCAGAGAGAGAGAGACCAGAGAGAGAGACCAGAGAGAGAGACCAGAGAGAGAGAGACCAGAGAGAGAGAGACCAGAGAGAGAGACCAGAGAGAGAGAAGAGAGAGAGAGACCAGAGAGAGAGAGACCAGAGAGAGAGACCACAGAGAGACCACAGAGAGACCAGAGAGAGAGACCACAGAGAGACCACAGAGAGACCAGAGAGAGACCAGAGAGAAACCACAGAGAGAGACCAGAGAGAGAGACCAGAGAGAGAGAGACCAGAGAGAGAGACCAGAGAGAGAGACCAGAGAGACACCAGAGAGAGAGACCAGAGAGAGACCAGAGAGAAACCACAGAGAGAGACCAGAGAGAGAGAGACCAGAGAGAGAGAGACCAGAGAGAGAGACCAGAGAGAGAGACCAGAGAGAGACCAGAGAGAGACCACAGAGAGAGACCAGAGAGAGAGAGACCAGAGAGAGAGACCAGAGAGAGAGAGACCAGAGAGACCACAGAGAGACCAGAGAGAGACCAGAGAGAGACCACAGAGAGAGACCAGAGAGAGAGAGACCAGAGAGAGAGACCAGAGAGAGAGACCAGAGAGAGAGACCAGAGAGAGACCAGAGAGAGACCACAGAGAGAGACCAGAGAGAGAGAGACCAGAGAGAGAGACCAGAGAGAGAGAGACCAGAGAGAGAGACCAGAGAGAGAGAGACCAGAGAGAGAGACCAGAGAGAGAGACCAGAGAGAGGATTTTGCTTTTTGCACAGCTTCACGGCTCGTTACGTTGTCCTTGGTGTGACGTGTGTTGTTCTAGAACCTTCTGAGCGTCCATAATCACTGTACTCTCTCGCTCTCTCTCAGGGGGAAACGGCTCTGGTCTGTGCCTCACCCAGTCCTCCCCCTCCCCTCCTGTGTGTGACGCCCATACCCACAGCGGGCACGAGGGGGCATACCCGCTCCTGCTCCTGGCTCAGCTGCTGCTCGGCATTGGTGCGGTGCCGATCCAACCGTTCGGCATCAGTTACATCGACGACTTCTCCAGCAAACGCAACTCCCCCCTCTACCTCGGTACGCCCCTCCCCCTCTGACCCCCTCCCACCTCTACACCCCCCTACCTCAGTATTCCCTTCCCCCTTCTGGACCAGGACCTGGGTCTGGACCAGGACCTGGGTCTGGACCAGGACCTGGGTGACCCTGTCTGTCTCCTCAGGGATCCTCCTCGCTGTCACCTCCATTGGTCCAGCGCTCGGGTTTATGACCAGCGCCTTCACCCTCAGGCTCTATGTGGACTTCAACTCTGTCAAACCAGGTCAGGACCTGAACCAGGACTGAACCAGGACTGAACCAGGACTGGACTTGAGTAGTATTATGGGCTCTTCGGTTGCTGGGCAGATGTGAGAGTGCCCTGTTTTCTCAGACCAGGTGTCTCTGAAGCCTGGAGACCTGCGCTGGGTCGGGGCCTGGTGGCTCGGGTTCCTGTTGGCGTCTTGTTTACTGCTGCTGACGGCGCTGCCCCTGCTGTTCTTCCCCAGAGAGCTCCCCCCAGAGGTAAGGAGTTACACTACACTTCACACAGACTTTGACTGTACCAGGACCGGAGCAGGACCATAGACTGTATATATTAACGGACAGAGTCACGCCTATCTCCGCCGTTCAAACAAATGGGCCAAAAAATGTGCTCTGCTGGAGCAATCCAAAATGGCCGCGAGTGGTCCCGCCCACAAGACGGGCATGCGTCAGCCGGCGAGAGCTCCATTCATTTAAACGAGAGACTTCAAAAATTCTCAACAACTAAACTAGACTGGTCCAAAACACCCCCCTCAGCACTGACACACATGTGGAACGGAGCCAAGAGCCAACTTTTGGACCATCCTGTAAAGACGTTTTCCAGAGGTCTGAATTAGCCAATGCTAACATATAGCATTGGCTAATTCTTATTCCGGGTCCACCCCCATCGGCCCGGGGTGGTATTGCAGCATGTCAGCGCAAGTCATTTTAGCCACTTTTGAGCCGGGACCCTCCCCCACTGAGCAGGACCAGAGACTCGACCAGGACTGAACCAGGTGTATGTTACAGACGGGGTCTGAAAAGAGTGGAGACGACGTCAAACAGGACAAGAAAAACTCACAAACTTTGGGAATCTTCCTCCGCAGTGAGTCACACACACACACACACACACACACTCACACACACACACACTCACACACTCACACACACACACACACGCACACACCCTCACACACACATTCACACTCACACACACACACAAACAAACTCACACTCACACACACACTCACACACTCACACTCACACACCCACTCACACGCACACACACACACACACACACACACACGCACACACCCTCACACACACACTCACACTCACACACACACACAAACAAACTCACACCCACACAAACTCACACTCACACACCCACTCACACGCACACACACACACGCACTCACACACACACACACACACACACACACACACACACACACAGTTCCCAGTCTACATGTGTGGCTCCTCCCCCAGGCTTTCCTCGGACCGCCCTCCGGACCCTGCGGTCTCCGGTCTACATGTGCGTGGTCTTGGCTCAGGTGAACCTCGCCGCACTGCTCTGCGGACTCGCCACCTTCATGCCCAAGTTCATGGAGCGCCAGTTCAGCCAGAGCACCTCAACCTCCAACATGATGATCGGTAAGTACCAGGACCGGGTCTGGTCTAGGACTGGGCCAGGACCAGACCGGGTCTGGACTGGGTCTAATGCAGTCTACTAGTTTCCCAGTGGGTAAGACTTGACAAATGCTGTTTCCTGTGTACTGTAGGGGGTGTCTCTCTCTCTCCTGTAGGGGGCGTGTCTCCCTCCCTTCTCTCTCTCTCTCTCTCCTGCAAGGGAAGTGTCTCTCTCTCTCCTGTAGGGGGTGTCTCTCTCTCTCTCCTGTGTGGGGTGTCTCTCTCGCTCTCTCTCTCTCCTGTAGGGGGTGTCTCTCTCTCTCTTTCTCTCCTGCAGGAGAAGTGTCTCTCTCTCTCCTGTAAGGGGCGTGTCTCACTCCCCTCTCTCTCTCCTCCAGGGGGCGTGGCTCTGCCCTGCTCGATCCTGGGTATCGTCCTCGGTGGCGTGCTGATGCGGCGTGCGGCGCTCTCCACAGTCGGTGCCGGCAGGATGTGCCTGGTGTCGGTGAGCTTGTGCGTCCTGACCGCGGTGCCGCTGCTGCTGATTGGCTGCTCCAGCAACCCGGTGTATAGGGTTTATCCAGCAGGGGGCGCCAGGTATGTCTCTCTCTCTGGTCTCTCTCTCTGCTCTCTCTCTGGTCTCTCTCTGGTCTCTCTCTGGTCTTTCTTGCTGGTCTCTCTCTCTGGTCTCTCTCTGGTCTCTGCCTGGTCTCTCGCTGGTCTCTCGCTGGTCTCTCTCTGGTCTCTCTCTGGTCTCTCTCTGGTCTTTCTCTGGTCTCTCTCTGGTCTCTCTCTGGTCTCTCTCTGGTCTCTCTCTGGTCTCTCTCTGGTCTCTCGATGGTCTCTCACTGGTCTCTCTCTGGTCTCTCTCTGGTCTCTCTCTGGTCTCTCTGGTCTCTCTCCCTGGTCTCTTTTGTTGTGGTCTGAAAGTTATGTACCACAGCTTTACTTGGTCTGTTCTTCTTTGTGCAGCCCAGTCCCAGACCCGGTCTCTGGTCCGGTTTGTAAATCCTGTCTCTGTCAGGAGGACTGGTTCAACCCGGTCTGTGGTTCTGACAGAGTGGAGTTCAGGTCGCCGTGTCACGCTGGCTGCACGACCCAAGAAAGGGACCAGGAGAGCGGGCGCATTTATGTGAGTCTCCCCCTCCCCAGACACCTCCCCTCCCCAGACGCCTATTATATTTATTTTTTATTTATTTTTTTGAGCATATGTTAAAATGCAAGACATTCAACTCGCAGATTTGATCAATTGCAATAAAAATACACATAGAAATATTGACAGAGTTCAGTCAGAACATGATAAAAATACAATCAGCTTAAATTTGTTTTACAATGTATCACTTCCAACATGAAGAGCAGCAGAAGTTACTATGGTAACACTGTTGTAAGCTCACACCACATCTGCACAATGTTCTCTACGGAGATAATTAAAGTGTACAGATTTATTTGTGGGTCGTTCGAAGCTGCTTGCAGTTTGAATAATTTGTGGTTTATTTTTCAGCGCTACACAAACTGCAGCTGTATCTCTGCGTCCCCCCCGGCCACTCTGAGTCCTGATCCCAGTCCCAGTCCGAGTCTCGCTCCCAGTCTTGGTCCGGACCAGTCCTGGGCCCGTCCTGGTTCCTGTGGGAGTCCGTGTTCACATCTGATCTCTGTCTTCATGGTTTTTGTGGCTCTGACGTGTTTCATCGCCTCCTTCTGCCACACACCGTCCTACATCCTCATCCTCCGGTACGGTACGAGTTCTACGAGTACTATAGCAGTGCCGTAGTACTGCCGTATTACAGCCGCAGTATGGCCGTACTACAACTGCAGTACGGCTGTAGTACTTTTGTACTTCTGTACTACGGCTGTGGTACTTTTGCTGCTCTAGTACTGCTCTAGTACTGCTGTAGTACTGCTGTAGTACTGCTGTTCTACTGCTGTAGTACTGCTGTAGTACTGTTGTAGTACGGCTGTAGTACTGCTGTAGTACGGCTGTGGTACTCGTGCTGCTGTAGTACTGCTGTAGTACTGCTGTTCTACGGCTGTAGTACTGCTGTAGTACAGCTGTAGTACGGCTGTGGTACTTGTGCTGCTGTAGTACTGCTGTAGTCCTGCTGTAGTACTGCTGTTCTACGGCTGTAGTACTGCTGTAGTACGGCTGTGGTACTTGTGCTGCTGTAGTGTCTTTCTGAGTGGTTTTTGTCGCAGGTCGGTGCCAGTGGACGACAAATCGTTTGCTGTTGGGCTTCAGTACATGTTCTTCAGAGTCCTGGGTGAGGAACATGTGATCATCAGGACACACCCCTCTGATAGGACACGCCCCTCTGATAGGGCACGCCCCTCTCTAATAGGACACACCCCTCTGATAGGACACACCCCTCTCTGAGAGAACCCACCCCGTGTGAGCACACGGCCCCCTCTTTAAGTGGACACGCCTCCTTTAACCACCCTTATAGGACACGCCCCCTTTGATATATATTTGCATCACTGTCCTCTAATGTGAGCTTAGCATAGCTAATGCTAAACAAAACACCTGTTTTCATTCTATTCGCAGAACATTAGCATAACATTATATTAACATGTTAACATGTGTCTCCATGGTGACAGCCTTTTTGTTTGTTACATGTGTCTCCGTGGTAACAGCCTTCATGCCCGGCCCAGTTCTCTACGGCAAAGTCATTGACACCACATGTCTGCTCTGGGGCAAGAAATGCAACCGGCTCACTTCCTGTTTGTACTATGACATGGATCTTTTCAGAACCAGGTGTGAACCAGGACCGGACCAGGACGGACCAAACAAAGACCAAGACCAGACCATGGTCAGACCAGAACCACAACCACGTCAGGACTGCCCAAGTGAGGACTCGGGTTGGGACAATTTGAGAAATGGTAAAACAGCAACAGTCCCAGTGCAGAGCCCTGAGGGACACCATGCAGGACTCAGAGACTGTATTAGGAACACAAGACCAGGAGTCAGACTGTACTCAGAACACAGGTCCAGGACTGACTCAGGTCTGTTCTTTGCAGGTTCCTTGGTCTTCAGCTGGTTTTCTTCTGTGGGTCCTTATTCTGTTTCCTGCTGATGGTTTGGATCCAGAGACGAAAACAAAAACAAGAAAAGAAAACCAGATACGAACTTACGGAGCAGACACCAGGACTGAGCTAGGTCTGAACCTAAACCGTAACTTTATAAACGGCACATTTTACAGCATAAAGAACAAATATTGTACTCTTTTATTAGTCCAGATGCCATTTCCTGATGAGTGGGAAGCACCACCCCCTCTATAAAAGGGTGATCTCACACTTGTAAACCTTGTGTAACGTGTTTGTTTCCTGTGGATATTGTTGATAAATGATCTTAAACAGATAAGTTTGACTGTGGCCACATCTGCCCTGGGGCAGCCAGGCTGAAGCCATCGTCCATTCTATTATCCATTATAACAATCGACCGTTTACAGATGGACTTGACTTTTATGTAAGACGCACAAAACTAATGAAGTCCAAACAAATACCCATGTCTCCAGCTAGCTTATGTTCTTCCACATTTAGGCTAACACTATGGTGATGTCACACTATGCACTTCTAATTTGAGTTCTGTCGTTTCTGAGATTTTCATACAATCTCTGGGGCAGTCTTATGTCCGACTGCAGGACTTTAAAACTTGATGTACAGAACTGAATCACTAACACTCTGAGGAAACAAAAGCAGATGTGCCTGAAGTTAATGAGGGAGGTGTAGGGTGTGTCGCCTGTTAAAAAACTCTGAATAAATCTGCACAGTATTCTACACTCTGTTGTGACTTGTGTGTAGCCACATCTGCAGAGGGCTCAGGGGCAGGACCAGGACAGTACCAAAGCTCCAGTAGAGGTTACTGTGGAATCCGCCCCCCACCCACGTCAAGGAAGCAGACAGTCTCTGGGTCATTCTCTGTAACCGGTGCCTTTTGTGTCCCAGAGGTTTAACGCAAAGATTAAAACATAAAGTAACCAATAAAATGAATTTTAACCAAGAAATAGAAAGAAAGATGTGTATTTTTATAGAACACAAGGAATGATTTGAAAAAATAAAACACATTATTCACATTTGTATGAGTCGCTGAGTATCAGATGCAGAGGAAGATTCATGTCCCCAGAGACCACAGGTACTTTTTCATTCAGTCTAAAACATATATGAATTACCATTAACCCAATTTTTTCTGCTAATATAATCATTTACCTTCTGCTCTGACTAAAATAAAAGAAAACTGAAAAGAATTTATGGTTTTTTTTCATGAAATGGTACTTTGTAGTCCTGTCCCCCAAGTTTGTTCAACCCCGTAACGGCATTTTCCACACTTTTTGAAAATAATGGTTCAGTCCAACAAACTCAACCTTCACAAAGTTACTCAAGTCTTTTCAAGGTCATGCTGTAAACAAAGGTCATTATTAGCATAAATATTTAACCCCATTTCATTTTTGTTGTTGTGAGATTGACATCGTCAAGCTCAACCTTTCAACTGTTACACAGATAAACGATATTTAGATATTGTTTAGGAAGAATCAAACAACTGTGTGAAAAAGTATCAATGTCATAATTTCCAAATGCCATGTGGTGCTAGCATGTTTGCTAACATGTTTGCTAACATGTTTGCTAACATGTTTGCTAACATGGGAAATATGGCTACTTTTAACTGGAATCTTCAACCCCGTAACAAAATGAATGGCAAATTCCTAGTAATATTTGGTATTCCATGTCTAAGGTGGGAGACAGTATTTTACCAGAGGTTCAAATACTCCTTTGTCAAATGCTATGTTCAGAAATGCAATAATTTTTGGTCATTTTTCAAAATTCTGAGGACCCAAAAGGCATCCAGAATCACCCGCCTACATCCCAGGCCAGGATTCAATCAGTCCTCGATAATTCAACAAATGTTAGGTAAGACTTAGAAATACAACATTAATAAAAACAGATAGTCAGTGATGCAGGATACAGAGACCCCTGCTGGAGAGGTCTGGTAACAGCACTATCCTCTCTACTTTCTACATCATTATGACTTCAGCTTCTGTCTGTCAGCTGTCCCATTATCAGTCATCGTCCTGTTTCATGATGACGGGACCCCTGAATCTGACCTCCTGCATCTGCACTTTTGTCTTGTGGGGTTCACCTTCCTCCCCGACTGGGAGCCGGCTCATTCCTGTATCATGTGGCCTTGGTCCTCGGTCTAGTCTCAGTCCTGGATCTAGAGCCTGTCCGTCTGTGGGAGCGAATCTGGTTTTTCACTTTTTCCCTCTGGGTTTCTCAGTTCTCCTCTGATGCAGGAGGGTTTGATCCGCGGTGGTCGTTCCGCTCCCTCTGGACCATTGGCTTCTGTGTGTTTGTTTTTATTACATTTCCTGTTTTCCAACTGATTGATTCTTTGATCTGTCGTTGGTGAATCATCAACTTCCTCTGAGATGATTGCTGTTATGATTTAGGACGAGACACAAATACATTGCCTTATATTAGTACCAGGCACTTCACTCTGAGGTCACTTACTAAGAAGTGACAGGACAGAAATGTTGAAACCAGAGTCTGACTCGACAAACTCACTTCCTCAAAGTCTCAAAGGGAAATGAGTGAATGAGTGAAATGAGTGAAAAACTAGAGTTCAGACCCAGGTCTTAAAGAGAGAATTGTGAAATTGTGCAGAGGTTTCCTGGACACAGGTCACCACAACATGAATAAGTAGCCGTAAAATCCTCACACACATACTTTCTAACCACCTGAACTCACGACTGCTGAAGTGAGAGACCAGAGATATCAAACATTTTGGTTGTAGGTCTGAGTGCTGCTGCAGCTGTCAAAAGTCGTGCACACACTGCAAAATGCAACTGAGGTCACTGAGCAGGCTATGGGAGAGAGAGCGAGCGGGACCAGAGAGAAACCAGAGAAATAGAGATAGACCAGAGAGAGAGACTTTAAATAAAAGGTATCTACCATGCTAAACTAACGGTTATATGATGTCACTGGATTATACACAGTAAAAGGCGATGAGAAGCAGACTGAGAAAGTTCATGATTTTATTCCAAACAAATAAACAATATATATTTACAATAAGTACATCACAGTAGAACAGTCTGATGGTGGGACATTGTCCACCACCTCAGAGCACATGTCCTCAGCTCTGCTTGTCCTTCGGCCCTGTCCTCAGCAGGGTTCTGTACAGCCTGATGAAGCAGTAGGTCACTCCCAGGCTGCAGTACACTGATGTGAGCAGCAGGGGGAGGAAGGGCAGGCGTGAGCTCAGAGAGGACAGAGGCAGCAGCAGCTCACAGCTCACACAGAGCAGAGGAAGAAGGAGCAGGAAGCAGCGCTCAGGGAGAGACAGGAGCCCAGGCCTGAGAACACAGGTGTAACACAGGTGTAATATGAGGTCTGTAACACAGGTGTAATGTGAGGTCTGTAACACAGGTGTAATATGAGGTCTGTAACACAGGTGTAATGTGAGGTCTGTAACACAGGTGTAATGTGAGGTCTGTAACACAGGTGTAATGTGAGGTCTGTAACACAGGTGTAATGTGAGGTCTGTAACACAGGTGTAATGTGAGGACTGTAACACAGGTGTAATGTGAGGACTGTAACACAGGTGTAATGTGAGGACTGTAACACAGGTGTAATGTGAGGTCTGTAACACAGGTGTAATGTGAGGTCTAATAGGGCTTTCAGACCGCCAACGCTGAAACACTGAAGCCCCGCTCACCAGACGCGCATTCTCTAGTTTTCAGACGCAGAGGACTTCACACCAGAACGTCCTGACGCGAGCCGGAAGTACCGGAAGTAGCCGGCCGGCTCTGATGCTAACAGAGCTATGCTAGCGGCTTCTTGTGTACAGATCTTCTCCAATATGCAGCTTTGCAGCGTGTCTTTGCTCACAGACATTCCACGGGCTTTATACAACAGCAGTATGTGTTCACGGAGGTGCGCCATACGTTTTTTCATATTATTAAACAGTATTTCCGCATCGGTGAACACACTCTAAGCAGTTGCATAAAGTCACGGGAGCATGACAACGCATATTTTCACAAGCACAGAGTCCCCCATTGTCAACCCTGGTTTGAGTTCTGGTGAAGTCTGGTGTGGGTCCTGTTTTGGCTGTTTACAGTATTTTCAGTCTGCTCGCTCAGTCCGCTAATGTCCCCGTGACCACTTTGCTGCTCTCTGATTGGTTGTTGCACAAACGTCCCAAGGAAAGGATGAGCAGAATCCATCTCCTGTGGGCGTTGTTTTTTCGCTCCTGCTCCTCCCTTTTCACTTTCCCGCCAAGTCCGTGCGTCATTATTGAACAGTCCGTGCGTGCGTGCAGAGAAGTCTGTGCGTTGTGACGGGCGAACGCGCGCCACCATAGACTTTGCATTGAAACCCGACGCAACGCATGATCCGGTCTGAAAGTACCATAACACAGGTGTAATGTGAGGTCTGTAACACAGGTGTAATGTGAGGTCTGTAACACAGGTGTAATGTGAGGTCTAACACAGGTGTAATGTGAGGTCTAACACAGGTGTAATGTGAGGTCTAACACAGGTGTAATGTGAGGTCTGTAACACAGGTGTAATGTGAGGTCTGTAACACAGGTGTAATGTGAGGTCTGTAACACAGGTGTAATGTGAGGTCTGTAACACAGGTGTAATGTGAGGTCTGTAACACAGGTGTAATGTGAGTCTGTGACACAGGTGTAATGTGAGTCTGTGACACAGGTGTAATGTGAGTGTGTGACACAGGTGTAATGTGAGTCTGTGACACAGGTGTAATGTGAGGTCTAACACAGGTGTAATGTGAGTCTATGACACAGGTGTAATGTGAGTCTGTGACACAGGTGTAATGCGAGTGTGACACAGGTGTAATGTGAGGTCTGTAACACAGGTGTAATGTGAGTCTGTGACACAGGTGTAATGTGAGTCTGTGACACAGGTGTAATGTGAGTGTGACACAGGTGTAATGTGAGGTCTAGCACAGGTGTAATGTGAGGTCTGTGACACAGGTGTAATGTGAGTCTGTGACACAGGTGTAATGCGAGTGTGACACAGGTGTAATGTGAGGTCTGTAACACAGGTGTAATGTGAGTCTGTGACACAGGTGTAATGCGAGTGTGACACAGGTGTAATGTGAGGTCTGTAACACAGGTGTAATGTGAGTCTGTGACACAGGTGTAATGTGAGGTCTGTAACACAGGTGTAATGTGAGTCTGTGACACAGGTGTAATGTGAGTCTGTGACACAGGTGTAATGTGAGTGTGACACAGGTGTAATGTGAGGTCTAACACAGGTGTAATGTGAGGTCTGTGACACAGGTGTAATGTGAGTCTGTGACACAGGTGTAATGTGAGTCTGTGACACAGGTGTAATGTGAGTCTGTGACACAGGTGTAATGTGAGTCTAACACAGGTGTAATGTGAGGTCTGTGACACAGGTGTAATGTGAGTCTGTGACACAGGTGTAATGTGAGTCTGTGACACAGGTGTAATGTGAGTCTGTGACACAGGTGTAATGTGAGGTCTAACACAGGTGTAATGTGAGTCTGTGACACAGGTGTAATGTGAGTGTGACACAGGTGTAATGCGAGTGTGACACAGGTGTAATGTGAGGTCTGTAACACAGGTGTAATGTGAGTCTGTGACACAGGTGTAATGTGAGGTCTGTAACACAGGTGTAATGTGAGGTCTAACACAGGTGTAATGTGAGTCTGTGACACAGGTGTAATGTGAGTCTGTGACACAGGTGTAATGTGAGGTCTGTAACACAGGTGTAATGTGAGTCTGTGACACAGGTGTAATGTGAGGTCTAACACAGGTGTAATGTGAGTCTGTGACACAGGTGTAATGTGAGTCTGTGACACAGGTGTAATGTGAGGTCTGTAACACAGGTGTAATGTGAGTCTGTGACACAGGTGTAATGTGAGGTCTAACACAGGTGTAATGTGAGGTCTTTAACACAGGTGTAATGAGAGTCTGTGACACAGGTGTAATGTGAGTCTGTGACACAGGTGTAATGCGAGTCTGTGACACAGGTGTAATGCGAGTCTGTGACACAGGTGTAATGTGAGGTCTAACACAGGTGTAATGTGAGTCTGTGACACAGGTGTAATGTGAGGTCTAACACAGGTGTAATGTGAGTCTGTGACACAGGTGTAATGTGAGGTCTAACACAGGTGTAATGTGAGTCTGTGACACAGGTGTAATGTGAGTCTGTGACACAGGTGTAATGTGAGGTCTGTAACACAGGTGTAATGTGAGGTCTGTAACACAGGTGTAATGTGAGGTCTGTAACACAGGTGTAATGTAAGGTCTGTAACACAGGTGTAATGTGAGGTCTTTAACACAGGTGTAATGTGAGTCTGTGACACAGGTGTAATGCGAGTCTGTGACACAGGTGTAATGCGAGTCTGTGACACAGGTGTAATGCGAGTCTGTGACACAGGTGTAATGTGAGTCTGTGACACAGGTGTAATGTGAGTGTGTGACACAGGTGTAATGTGAGTCTGTGACACAGGTGTAATGTGAAGTCTGTGACACAGGTGTAATGTGAGGTCTGTGACACAGGTGTAATGTGAGTCTGTGACACAGGTGTAATGCGAGTCTGTGACACAGGTGTAATGCGAGTCTGTGACACAGGTGTAATGTGAGTCTGTGACACAGGTGTAATGTGAGTGTGTGACACAGGTGTAATGTGAGTCTGTGACACAGGTGTAATGTGAGGTCTAACACAGGTGTAATGTGAGTCTGTGACACAGGTGTAATGTGAGTCTGTGACACAGGTGTAATGCGAGTGTGACACAGGTGTAATGTGAGGTCTGTAACACAGGTGTAATGTGAGTCTGTGACACAGGTGTAATGTGAGTCTGTGACACAGGTGTAATGTGAGTGTGACACAGGTGTAATGTGAGGTCTAACACAGGTGTAATGTGAGGTCTAACACAGGTGTAATGTGAGTCTGTGACACAGGTGTAATGTGAGTCTGTGACACAGGTGTAATGTGAGTCTGTGACACAGGTGTAATGTGAGTCTGTGACACAGGTGTAATGTGAGTCTGTGACACAGGTGTAATGTGAGGTCTAACAGGTGTAATGTGAGTCTGTGACACAGGTGTAATGCGAGTGTGACACAGGTGTAATGTGAGGTCTGTAACACAGGTGTAATGTGAGTCTGTGACACAGGTGTAATGCGAGTGTGACACAGGTGTAATGTGAGGTCTGTAACACAGGTGTAATGTGAGTCTGTGACACAGGTGTAATGTGAGGTCTGTAACACAGGTGTAATGTGAGTCTGTGACACAGGTGTAATGTGAGTCTGTGACACAGGTGTAATGTGAGTGTGACACAGGTGTAATGTGAGGTCTAACACAGGTGTAATGTGAGGTCTGTGACACAGGTGTAATGTGAGTCTGTGACACAGGTGTAATGTGAGTCTGTGACACAGGTGTAATGTGAGTCTGTGACACAGGTGTAATGTGAGGTCTAACACAGGTGTAATGTGAGTCTGTGACACAGGTGTAATGTGAGTCTGTGACACAGGTGTAATGCGAGTGTGACACAGGTGTAATGTGAGGTCTGTAAACACAGGTGTAATGTGAGTCTGTGACACAGGTGTAATGTGAGGTCTGTAACACAGGTGTAATGTGAGGTCTAACACAGGTGTAATGTGAGTCTGTGACACAGGTGTAATGTGAGTCTGTGACACAGGTGTAATGTGAGTCTGTGACACAGGTGTAATGTGAGGTCTGTAACACAGGTGTAATGTGAGTCTGTGACACAGGTGTAATGTGAGGTCTAACACAGGTGTAATGTGAGTCTGTGACACAGGTGTAATGTGAGTCTGTGACACAGGTGTAATGTGAGGTCTGTAACACAGGTGTAATGTGAGTCTGTGACACAGGTGTAATGTGAGGTCTAACACAGGTGTAATGTGAGTCTGTGACACAGGTGTAATGTGAGGTCTAACACAGGTGTAATGTGAGGTCTTTAACACAGGTGTAATGAGAGTCTGTGACACAGGTGTAATGTGAGTCTGTGACACAGGTGTAATGTGAGGTCTGTAACACAGGTGTAATGCGAGTCTGTGACACAGGTGTAATGTGAGGTCTAACACAGGTGTAATGTGAGTCTGTGACACAGGTGTAATGTGAGGTCTAACACAGGTGTAATGTGAGTCTGTGACACAGGTGTAATGTGAGGTCTAACACAGGTGTAATGTGAGTCTGTGACACAGGTGTAATGTGAGTCTGTGACACAGGTGTAATGTGAGGTCTGTAACACAGGTGTAATGTGAGGTCTGTAACACAGGTGTAATGTGAGGTCTGTAACACAGGTGTAATGTAAGGTCTGTAACACAGGTGTAATGTGAGGTCTTTAACACAGGTGTAATGTGAGGTTACAGGCGTAATGTGAAGTCTGTGACACAGGTGTAATGTGAGGTCTGTGACACAGGTGTAATGTGAGTCTGTGACACAGGTGTAATGCGAGTCTGTGACACAGGTGTAATGTGAGGTCTAACACAGGTGTAATGTGAGTCTGTGACACAGGTGTAATGTGAGGTCTAACACAGGTGTAATGTGAGGTCTAACACAGGTGTAATGTGAGGTCTAACACAGGTGTAATGTGAGTCTGTGACACAGGTGTAATGTGAGGTCTTTAACACAGGTGTAATGTGAGTCTGTGACACAGGTGTAACTCCTGGACACTCACCCGTGCAGCTTGTGCAGAGCGCTGAAGGAGAACACAGAGAAGAGCAGCATCAGCAGCAGCTTCAGCGGAAACTCTGAACGAGCAGAACAAGCAAACAGGGTTCACAAAGGGCCCTGTTCTTAAAGCTGGCGTATGTAACTTCAGTCTCATGAGTAACACATGTTTAAAGCTGGGATATGTGACTTTAACAAAAACAATGTAGTTGGTCCAACAGAAAGTCTCAGACCACAACATGCCGTCTTCATCCATTGTGTGAGAAAGAACCCTGTGAGTCACTATTTGCCTCTTTGGGCAGAGCTGTTTTACCTGCAGCAGTGAAGATGAGCGGGAACAGGGAGTAGTGTCCTGTCGTGGCCAATAGCAGAAAGATCCCAGCATCCTCTCTGCTCTGCACGGCAAGTAGGCTGCCAGTGGGGGACATTAGACATGAACACACACGTGTATGTGTATGTGTGTATGTGTGTATGTGTGTATGTGTATGTGTATGTGTATGTGTATGTGTATGTGTATGTGTGTGTGTGTGTGTGTGTGTGTGTGTGTGTGTGTGTGTGTGTGTGTGTGTGTGTATGTGTATGTGTATGTGTGTGTGTGTGTGTGTGTGTGTATGTGTGTGTATATGTGTATGTGTGCGTGTGTGTGTGTTTCAGTAGCGGCACCAGGTTTGCAATAATGGGTAGGCCTGCAGATTAGTAAGTAGGCCTAATTCGCTCGCAAACTACAAGGGGTAGTTGGAAATGGGGTTTCAAAGAATATGGTTCACACACATCCACACATGCACACACGAACGCACGCTAACACACATGCACACACGAACGCACGCTAACACACATGCACACACGAACGCACGCTAACACACATGCACACACGAACGCACGCTAACACACATGCACACACGCTAACACACATGCACACACGCTAACACACATGCACACACAAACGCACGCTAACACACATGCACACACGCTAACACACATGCACACACGAACGCACGCTAACACACATGCACACACGCTAACACACATGCACACACGCTCGCACACATGCACACACGCTAACACACATGCACACACGCTCGCACACATGCACACACGCTAACACACATGCACACACGCACGCACACATGCACACACGCTCGCACACATGCACACACGCACGAACACATGCACACACGCTCGCACACATGCACACACGCTAACACACATGCACACACGCACGCACACACGCTAACACACATGCACACACGCTCGCACACATGCACACACGCTCGCACACATGCACACACGCTAACACACATGCACACACGCACGCACACACGCTAACACACATGCACACACGCTCGCACACATGCTCGCACACAGGCACACACGCTAACACACATGCACACACGCTCGCACACATGCACACATGCTCGCACACAGGCACACACGCTAACACACATGCACACACGCACGCACACACGCTAACACACATGCACACATGCTCGCACACAGGCACACACGCTAACACACATGCACACACGCTCGCACACATGCACACACGCTAACACACATGCACACACGCTAACACACATGCTAACACGCTCGCACACATGCACACACGCTAACACACATGCACACACGCTCGCACACATGCACACACGCTAACACACATGCACACACGCACGCACACACGCTAACACACATGCTAACACACACGCTAACACACATGCACACACGCTCGCACACATGCACACACGCTAACACACACGCTCGCACACTTTACCTCATTAGTGCGAGTCTTGCCTGACTGCGCTCTTCTCTTCTGGGACCTACGAGGCTGGACCTCTGGCTCCTCTACCTCACGAAGTTCACGCTGAACTTTCTTAAAACTAAAATGAAAAAGGCTGCTCTGTTGTGAATGTTTTGAGAGCGTTGTCAATCTTTAAGACGAGTAATAGCTGCTTGTTCTCGGGGAACGAGCTTCGTGCTGTTTGATATGATCATGCAGATTATTGGACAAAAGTGTTCAGCCAATAAACAGAACTATATTTCTATATATATATATATATATATATATATATATATATATATATATATATAAGGGGACGTGATGACGCTCAGGGGTTACATTTTCTAAAAACATTAGAACGCAACATTTAGGCGATAATTTGTGTATAATAATAACAATATTTAAATTATGACTTATAAATAAAAAAGGCTTATGACTTGAGAGGCGAGGAACAAATTTTAGTAGCCCAAGAAAAAAAAACTGGTAGGCACCGGCCTACCCAGGCCTATCCAGGCCTATCCAGGCCTACCCAGACCTATCCAGGCCTATCCAGACCTATCCAGGCCTACCCAGACCTATCCAGGCCTACCCAGAGTATCCCTGGCGCCGCGGCTGGTGTGTGTATGTACAGTGGAGCAAAAAAGTATTTAGTCAGCCACCAATTGTGCAAGTTCTCCCAGTTAAAATAATGACAGGTCTGTAATTTTCATCATAGGTTCACTTCAACTGTGAGAGACAGAATGTGAAGACATTTTTTTTAATTATGGTGGAAAATAAGTTTTTGGTCAATAACAAAAATTCAACTCAATACTTTGTAATATAACCTTTGTTGGCAATAACAGAGGTCAAATGATTACTATAGGTCTTCACCAGGTTTTTCACACACAGTAGCTGGTATTTTGGCCCATTCCTCCATGTTTCGGGGCTGTCGCCGAGCAACACAGACTTTCAACTCACTCCACATATTTTCAATGGGGTTGAGGTCTGGAGACTGGCTATCTCACGATACATGGCCACATTAATTCTTCCCTTTACACAGATCAGTCGTCCTGTCCCCTTAGCAGAAAAACAGCCCCAAAGCATGACGTTTCCACCCCCATGCTTCACAGTAGGTATGGTGTTCTTGGGATGCAACTCAGTATTCTTCTTCCTCCAAACACGAAGAGTTGAGTTTATACCAAACAGTTCTACTTTGGTTTAATATGACCACATGACATTCTCCCAATCCTCTGCTGTATCATCCATGTGCTCTGTGGCAAACTTCAGACGGGCCTGGACATGCACTGGCTTCAGCAGGGGGACACGTCTGGCACTGCAGGATTTGATTCCCTGTCGTCGTAGTGTGTTACTGATGGTAACCTTTGTTACTTTGGTCCCAGCTCTCTGCAGGTCATTCACCAGGTCCCCCCGTGTGGTTCTGGGATTTTTGATCACCGTTCTCATGATCATTTTGACCCCACGGGATGAGATCTTGCGTGGAGCCCCAGATCGAGGGAGATTATCAGTGGTCTTGTATGTCTTCCATTTTCTGATAATTGCTCCCACAGTTGATTTGTTCACACCCAGCTGCTTGTCTATTGTAGATTCACTCTTCCCAGTCTGGTGCAGGTCTACAATTCTTTTCCTGGTGTCCTTCGACAGCTCTTTGGTCTTGGCCATAGTGGAGTTTGGAGTCTAACTGTTTGAGGCTGTGGACAGGTGTCTTTTATACAGATAAGTTCAAACAGGTGCCATTAATACAGGTAACAGGTGGAGGACAGAAGAGCTTCTTAAAGAAGAAGTTACAGGTCTGTGAGAGCCTGAGATATTCCTTGTTTGAAGTGACCAAATACTTATTTTCCACCATAATTTACAAATAAATTCTTTAAAAGTCCTACAATGTGAATTCCTGGATTTTTTTTTTCACATTCTGTCTCTCACAGTTGAAGTGAACCTATGATGAAGATTACAGACCTCTGTCATTATTTTAAGTGGGAGAACTTGCACAATCAGTGGCTGACTAAATACTTTTTTGCCCCACGGTATGTACTGTAAATGAATGCGTGTGTATGTATGTGTATGTATGTACTGTATATGAATGTGTGTGTGTGTTTGACCTGAGGGGCAGGATGGCGATCAGCACGGCCTTCTCATGGACGTGCCATCCAAACATGAAGGAGGCGAGCGCACACAGCACCACAGCTCGCAGGAACGAGAGCGAGTGACGAGGACGAGACACGAGACACAAGACTGAGGGCTGAGGAGAGACCAGCACTGAGCCAGGACTGGGCCAGGACTGAGCCAGGACTGAGCCAAGACTGAGCCAGGACTGAGCCAAGACTGAGCCAGGACTGAGCCAAGACTGAGCCAGGACTGAGCCAGGACTGAGCCAGGACTGAGCCAGGACTGAGCCAGGACTGAGCCAGGACTGAGCCAGGACTGAGCCAGGACTGAGCCAAGACTGAGCCAGGACTGAGCCAGGACTGAGCCAGGACTGAGCCAGGACTGAGCCAGGACTGAACCAGGACTGAACCAGGACTGAACCAGGTCCAAAGCAGGTTTAACACAGGTCTAAAGAAGGACTAAAGCAGGTCTAAAGCAGGTCTAAAGCAGGTCTAAAGCAGGTCTAACAGGTCTAAAGCAGGTCTAAAGCAGGTCTAAAGCAGGAATAAAGCCGGCCTCACCAGCAGGGCCAGTGCGGTGCAGATCAGAGTCACCGCTGGAGACACTGAGGGCAGAACCGTGTGGTGAAACTCCTGGACCAAACCTCCGGTCATGGAGGCTCGAGGAGAGGAGTCCAGGAGCCTGAGGCGAAGACCTGCACACAACATCTGAGTTAGAGCAGGACGAGAGGAGAGCAGGATGAAGGACGAGATCAGGATGAGAGAGGAGAGCAGGATGAGAGAGGAGAGAAGGATGAGAGAGGAGAGAAGGATGAGATTAGGAGAGAGGAGAGAAGGATGAGAGAGGAGAGCAAGAGGAGATCGAGATGAGAGGAGATCGAGATTAGAGGAGATGGAGATGAGATCAGGATGAGAGAGATCGAGATGAGAGGAGAGCAGGATGAGATCGAGATGAGAGATGAGATCAGGATGAGAGAGATCGAGATGAGAGAGGAGATCGAGATGAGAGAGGAGATCAGGATGAGAGAAGGATGAGAGAGGATATCGAGATGAGAGAGGAGATCAGGATGAGAGAAGGATGAGAGAGGAGATCGAGATAAGAGAGGAGAGAAGGATGAGAGACAAGATCAGGACGAAATATGAGAGCAGGATGAGATAAGATCAGACTGAGATGAGATCAGAACGAGATGAGATCAGAACGAGATGAGATCAGAACGAGATGAGATCAGGACGGGGTGTGGCCCTTGCCCAGTGCGGTGAGGCCCTTGTCGGCCGCGGTGTACAAGGCCCAGGCGTTCGGGGCCCAGTAGGCGTGGCACAGGCCGCGTTTAAACGGGAACAGACGGGACAAGACCTGAGGCAGCTGTCCCTGAACAGAGACAATGATAAGGGTCACAGTGAATAGATGTGTTTGGAGCGAGGTTTGGAAGTGTGGGAGAGGGTCAGTGTGTTGCAAAGGTCAGGGGGAAGGGTGTTCCATGGTGACAAGGAACAAGGAAGAACCTTGGAGGAGGAGGAGAGGAGGGAGCGGGCAGGTGTGCTGATGTGGAGGAACTCGGGGAAGTTCGGAGGGGCGAGGTGGTGGATGGCTTTGTAAGTGAGGAGCAGGATTTTGTACTGAATGCAGTGGGTGATGGAAGCCAGGACAGGCATGATGTAGTCGTTTCAGGACAGGGTTGATGTGGTCGTTTCAGGACAGGGGTGATGTAGTCGTTTCAGGACAGGGGTGATGTGGTCGTTTCAGGACAGGGGTGATGTGGTCGTTTCAGGACAGGCATGATGTGGTCGTTTCAGGACAGGCATGATGTGGTCGTTTCAGGACAGGCACGATGTGGTCGTTTCAGGACAGGCATGATGTGGTCGTTTCAGGACAGGGGTGATGTGGTCGTTTCAGGACAGGCATGATGTAGTCGTTTCAGGACAGGGTTGATGTGGTCGTTTCAGGACAGGGGTGATGTAGTCGTTTCAGGACAGGGGTGATGTGGTCGTTTCAGGACAGGGGTGATGTGGTCGTTTCAGGACAGGCATGATGTGGTCGTTTCAGGACAGGCACGATGTGGTCGTTTCAGGACAGGCATGATGTGGTCGTTTCAGGACAGGCACGATGTGGTCGTTTCAGGACAGGCACGATGTGGTCGTTTCAGGACAGGGTTGATGTGGTCGTTTCAGGATAGGGGTGATGTGGTCGTTTCAGGACAGGCATGATGTGGTCGTTTCAGGACAGGCATGATGTGGTCGTTTCAGGACAGGGGTGATGTGGTCGTTTCAGGACAGGCGTGATGTGGTCGTTTCAGGACAGGGGTGATGTGGTCGTTTCAGGACAGGGGTGATGTGGTCGTTTCAGGACAGGCATGATGTGGTCGTTTCAGGACAGGCATGATGTGGTCGTTTCAGGACAGGCACGATGTGGTCGTTTCAGGACAGGCATGATGTGGTCGTTTCAGGACAGGGGTGATGTGGTCGTTTCAGGACAGGCATGATGTAGTCGTTTCAGGACAGGGTTGATGTGGTCGTTTCAGGACAGGGGTGATGTGGTCGTTTCAGGACAGGCATGATGTGGTCGTTTCAGGACAGGCACGATGTGGTCGTTTCAGGACAGGCACGATGTGGTCGTTTCAGGATAGGGGTGATGTAGTCGTTTCAGGACAGGCATGATGTGGTCGTTTCAGGACAGGCACGATGTGGTCGTTTCAGGACAGGCATGATGTGGTCGTTTCAGGACAGGCATGATGTGGTCGTTTCAGGACAGGGGTGATGTGGTCGTTTCAGGACAGGCGTGATGTGGTCGTTTCAGGACAGGCATGATGTGGTCGTTTCAGGACAGGCACGATGTGGTCGTTTCAGGACAGGCACGATGTGGTCGTTTCAGGACAGGGTTGATGTGGTCGTTTCAGGACAGGGGTGATGTGGTCGTTTCAGGATAGGGGTGATGTGGTCGTTTCAGGACAGGCATGATGTGGTCGTTTCAGGATAGGGGTGATGTGGTCGTTTCAGGACAGGCATGATGTGGTCGTTTCAGGACAGGCATGATGTGGTCGTTTCAGGACAGGCGTGATGTGGTCGTTTCAGGACAGGGGTGATGTGGTCGTTTCAGGACAGGCGTGATGTGGTCGTTTCAGGACAGGCGTGATGTGGTCGTTTCAGGACAGGGGTGATGTGGTCGTTTCAGGACAGGCGTGATGTGGTCGTTTCAGGACAGGCATGATGTGGTCGTTTCAGGACAGGCACGATGTGGTCGTTTCAGGACAGGCACGATGTGGTCGTTTCAGGACAGGGTTGATGTGGTCGTTTCAGGATAGGGGTGATGTGGTCGTTTCAGGATAGGGGTGATGTGGTCGTTTCAGGACAGGCATGATGTGGTCGTTTCAGGACAGGCATGATGTGGTCGTTTCAGGACAGGGGTGATGTGGTCGTTTCAGGACAGGCGTGATGTGGTCGTTTCAGGACAGGGGTGATGTGGTCGTTTCAGGACAGGCATGATGTGGTCGTTTCAGGACAGGCGTGATGTGGTCGTTTCAGGACAGGGGTGATGTGGTCGTTTCAGGATAGGGGTGATGTGGTCGTTTCAGGACAGGGGTGATGTGGTCGTTTCAGGACAGGGGTGATGTGGTCGTTTCAGGACAGGGGTGATGTGGTCGTTTCAGGATAGGGGTGATGTGGTCGTTTCAGGATAGGGGTGATGTGGTTGTTTCAGGATAGGGGTGATGTGGTCGTTTCAGGACAGGCATGATGTGGTCGTTTCAGGACAGGGGTGATGTGGTCGTTTCAGGATAGGGGTGATGTGGTCGTTTCAGGACAGGGGTGATGTGGTTGTTTCAGGATAGGGGTGATGTAGTCGTTTCAGGACAGGGGTGATGTGGTCGTTTCAGGACAGGGGTGATGTGGTCGTTTCAGGACAGGGGTGATGTGGGGTTGATGTGGTCGTTTCAGGACAGGGTTATGTGGTCGTTTCAGGATGTGGTATGTGTCGTTTCAGGACAGGGGTGATGTGGTCGTTTCAGGACAGGGTGATGTAGTCGTTTCAGGATAGGGTGATGGGGTTTGAGTGTATGTGTCGTTTCAGGACAGGGGTGATGTGGTCGTTTCAGGACAGGGGTGATGTGGTTGTTTCAGGACAGGGGTGATGTGGTCGTTTCAGGACAGGGGTGATGTGGTTGTTTCAGGACAGGGGTGATGTGGTCGTTTCAGGACAGGGGTGATGTGGGGTTGATGTGGTCGTTTCAGGACAGGGGTGATGTGGTCACTTTTAAATGCTATAGTTAGTGTTTGAGAGTATAGATTTATTTTTCCTTTATCTTGTGTTGTGTGCTCCTCATTCCCGGTGATGCAACACTGACATTTTCCGCACAGTGGGACGAGTCTTTCTGGTCTTCGACAGAACCTGAGGCACCTGTGGCGGGACATATATGGACCACACATGGGTCTAAACATGGACGGTGTGTGGGTGAGCGTTACCATGGCGATGAACGGGCCGAAGGACAGCGCTGTGACTGAGACTACGATGGAACCCAGAGCCGAGAGACGCAGGAGACTGAAACTCCTCCAATTCAAGCTGCCATCTGTAAGAGAACCAGGTCTGAACCAAGCAGGTCTAAAGCCAGTCTAAAGCCAGACTAAAGCAGGTCTAAAGCCAGACTAAAGTAAGTCTAAAGCCAGACTAAAGTAAGTCTAAAGCGGGACTAAACCGGACTGAAGCCAGACTAAAGTCAGACTTAAGCAGATATGAACCAGGACTAATGGGTCTAAAGTAGGTCTACACTCAGTCTCACCTGGGTGGTCCTCGCTGAAGCAGTAAGACCGCAGCAGGAACACTCCGTACGCTGGAGCCACGTACAGAAAAATGTGTTTGAGATTCAGCAGCAACGCGAATAGGAGCGCCCCCTGGAGATGTTTGGACTAAGGACAAGAGAAAATAATTATACAGAGACTAGAGAGAGAGCAGAGAGAGAGACCAGAGAGACTAGAGAGAGAGAGCTGAGAGAGAGAGAGCTGAGAGGCTAGAGAGAGAGCTGAGAAGCTAGAGAGAGAGCAGAGAGACCAGACCTGGAGATGTTTGGCCAGAGACAGCAGCAGGAAGCCCATCAAGAATCCATTATACTGGAAATGTATATCTGACATAGGTTTAGAAAAACAGATCTGAATCAGGTCTGAACTGGGACTGAACCAGGACTGAACAAAGTCTGTGTTTATAAAGGATACGGTCAACAATGAAGAGGCCGAAGTTGAAGAGCAGCAGGACAGCGAGGACAAACGGCGGTCGAGTCAAAACGTCTTTGGAGGATTTCAGATGAGAGACGCAACGACAGCATCTGGACAAAAACAAAATGTAGTTTGTCCAACGGAAAGAATCAAACAGAACCAGAACAAGCGGTCCTCATCTCACTACAGAACATGCTCTGTTGGTCACTTTTTAATGCTTTTGGCTGAGAGCTTTTCTGACTGAAAAAAGCTGATTAAAAGTTCTTTTTGGGGTCCCTCTCTGGCCTCTCTTTCTGGTCCCCCGCTGGTCTCTCTCTCTGGTCTCTCTCTCAGGGGTCTCTCTTTCTGGTCCCCCGCTGGTCTCTCTCTGGTCTCGCTCTCAGGGGTCTCTCTCTGGGGTCTCTCTCTGGGGTCTGTCTTTCTGGTCCCTCTTTGGCCTCTCTTTCTGGTCTCTCTCCCTCTGGTCTCTCTCCCTCTGGTCTCTCTCCCTCTGGTCTCTCTCCCTCTGGTCTCTCTCCCTCTGGTCTCTCTCCCTCTGGTCTCTCTCCCTTTGGTCTCTCTCCCTTTGGTCTCTCGCTCTCTGGTCTCTCGCTCTCTGGTCTCTCGCTCTCTGGTCTCTCGCTCTCTGGTCTCTCGCTCTCTGGTCTCTAGCTCTCTGGTCTCTAGCTCTCTGGTCTCTAGCTCTCTGGTCTCTCGCTCTCTGGTCTCTAGCTCTCTGGTCTCTCGCTCTCTGGTCTCTCGCTCTCTGGTCTCTCGCTCTCTGGTCTCTCGCTCTCTGGTCTCTAGCTCTCTGGTCTCTAGCTCTCTGGTCTCTCGCTCTCTGGTCTCTCGCTCTCTGGTCTCTAGCTCTCTGGTCTATAGCTCACTGGTCTCTAGCTCTCTGGTCTCCAGCTCACTGGTCTCTAGCTCACTGGTCTCTAGCTCTCTGGTCTCTCGCGCTCTCTCTAAAAATAAATGCATGTGAAAACTAGTGATAGAAGCAAATTCCAGTCTGGTGTGAAAATGTACATACTCCAGTTTTGACCTCGACCTCATCAACCACACATCTCCCCGTCCCCTCTGTCTAAATGGTCTAAATGGTCAAACTATGCGGTCACTCACTCTCGGGTGGCCAGGACGTAGACCAGGTCCGTAAAGATAACGGTCAGTCGCTGGAACAGAACCGTACTCTGGCTTTCGTAGGCGGCTCTCTGGATCTTCACCATCTCTGGATCAAAGTGACGTCCCACATGAGACAAGGCCAGTTCGAACCAGGCGAACAGTGGGGGGTAGTCCAGGGTCCAGTCCGACGTGTTCTGGACAGAGACAAGACTTGAGAGTCAGAAACCCCAGACCCGACCAGAGAGAGGCCAGTGAGAGACCAGAGAAAGACTAGAGAGAGAGCCGCAGAGAGACACCAGTGAGGCCAGAGAGAAAGACCAGACTGAGCTACCAGAAAGACCAGCCCTCACCTCATAGTACCAGCGAGACACTGGCAGGCTGTGGGTGATGGCTAACCAGTTCCTGTGAACCTCGAAATCTGTGGAGCGACTTTAGCAGAACATAAAATCATTATTAAGTGTTTTGTAGTTTCTCTACAGACAGAAAAGTCACAGAGACACAACCGTTATTCATATGAAGTTAATAAAGATCACATGTGTGTATTCTTGGGCTATGTCACATAATTTATTCACATTTGACTTTTAACAATACTTTTTCTATTTGACAAACATGTTATTTATGAGACCAAGTTACGTACCCTAACGTTCCTTAATCATCATGTATCTGGTCTATTTATTAATATCAAAATCAAGTTTGAAATTCCAGTACAACCTACAGTTCCTCAGGTTCTCTCTCTTATCTATTATGACAAGCAACAAATCAGTATCTGAGGAAATTCCTTGGTAACCATGGCTTCCAGCAGCACTCTGGCCAATCACAGTCAGTTACAACACTTCAGTATCAGCTCCTCCTGGAAAGAACCAGGGTCAAGAGGGACTATAGAAGGACCTGGTGCACTCCCAATCAGGGAAGCTTTAGGGTAGGGCTGGTGGAAACAGGGCTGGGGCCATAACAGAGAAATGGCGCCATCTTCAGGCGACTTGCCAGAGCTGACAAATTACACGTCAGTCTAAAGTTTATCTCTGAATTATAACTATTCAAAATGTAGTAATTGTGAAAAATAAAACAATTACACATCCTAGCATTTTTAACGTAAACATTGAGGCATGGGCTTGCAGCATGGATATATTAAATCATTAAAGCTACATTGATAAAGTTAACGCGTAAGCATGTTAGCTCAATGCTAATGGACAGCTGCGCTCCGTTTCCGCACTAGTGAGTCCAAAGCAATGGAAAATCGGCCCAGATGAAGCCTGTGGAAACATGTGAAACTAACACTTACTATGCATTGATAAAGAGACATTTAAGCAAAGAAACTCCCACAGCTAACGCCACGAACCAGCCCTCCACCGCGGCCGCCATGGCTGTATTATTTTCTCCAACACAATTTTCTTTTAATGCTTTATTTTAGTTGGGCTTATTTTTTCCATTTGTGCATTTAAAATCAGGTAATGATATATAAAACCACTTGGGGGAAATATATTTATCTCAGGAGCAGTTACTATGGATGATATGAACGATTATAAGCCTGACAGAACTGCTTTAGGGAATAACCTGACGTCACACAAAACCGGAACATCAACAAAAACTCAAACAGATGGCGCGATGCCGCTTTTCTGAGAAGTCTTCTGGAAAACACGGATTTAAGGAGTTTGTGCGAAGAAAAAGCGACGTGTCCGACTGCAAACATGAAGCAAAGATGATACAAGACATGAAAACGACTTTAAAGAGACAGAAAAGTCTGAAGGTGTGTGTCGCTGGCCTCAGATTGTGACTGTGTTGCCCCCGGACACTACACGTGCCTGTTACATGTCACTTCTGTGGTTCAATGCCTACAGTCTATGGATAAACTGGATTACACAAGTGAAGATGGTTTTACTGCTGACGTTTATACTGGAGGCGTGAGGGCGGAGGCAGAACTTTAGATAAAAAAGTCTTTTCGTCGATCTTCATGTGAGTATATTATTATTATTCAACGAGCTGCAGGTAAATAACGGTATTCGCCCACGTTGTTGCAACTCCCAGTTCGTGATGCATGACTCTAATAAACACTAGAATATATAGAATATGATATAGACATGTATAGTATAGGAATAATAAAGCTGGTAGATATTACATGTTTGACCAAAGTGTCTGTTCTGCATGAGGTTGTGTCTCTGATGTGCAGGTTGTGTCTCTGATGTGCAGGTTGTGTCTCTGATGTGCAGGTTGTGTCTCTGATGTGCAGGTTTTGTCTCTGATGTGCAGGTTTTGTCTCTGATGTGCAGGTTGTGTGTCTGTGATCTGCATAAGGTTGTGTGTCTGACGTTGAGGTTACATGTCTGATGTTTGTGAGCAGAATGAGGCGCAGTTTAGCCCCGAGTCAGATGGCGAAGAGGGTTAAGCGAGAGGAGGACGATCCGGAGTGGACAGAGGAGCGGAGTCCAGACAGGAAGGCTCTGACCTCACTGATGACCTCACAGATGACCTCACTGATGACCTCACAGATGACATCACCGTCCAGCGCCAAAGATCACGAGCACTTCATTGCCAGCATCCTGTCCAGACCCTTTAAGGTGTGTTAGAAAGAGGAGACCTTGGGTTTTTGCTCAGTGGGAATGAGGCTATAATCTGTTGTGATTAGCTCCAGCCACTGTAATATCAAGAACCTTAAACTTGTTACATTGTGAGGAACCCGCAGACTATGGCGTCATGTAAATTATTATTTTGAATTTCTCCGTTCATATTGTGCTTTCCCTCTCTTTGCCTACAGTTACACCGCACAGTGTTAGATGTAATAGATGTAATTTCCCACTTCTACCACTAGATCTGTGCGCTGCTCATTTTGGCTCATATCTCTTATTGCATTAAACGTGCATTAAAATGATCTTTTCACATTCCACACATTCAACGCCAGAGGGGGAGGGGAGAGGAGAGGAACAGGAGAGGAGAGAGAGAAGAAAGGAGAGATGGGAGCTGAGAGGAGAAATAATATGGAAAAGAGAGAGGGAAGGGAAGAAGAGTAGGGGTGAGGAGAAACAAGGAATGGAAGAAGGGGAGAGGAGAGGGGGTACATGAGAGGAGAAGAGTGGGGAGTCGAGAGAGAAGATGGGAGGGAAGGGCAGGAGAGGAGAGTGGATGTGAGAGGAAGAGGGTGGGGAGAGGAGAGAGTGCTGCTCATCCCAACCATCTCTTATTCCATTAAACATGTTTATCCACCTTCCACACATTCAAAGCCAGAATGAGCCTCCTCCAGATCATGTTTTGAGGGTCTGGTGTTGTTCAGGTCCCGATCGCAAACTACTCGGGTCCTCTGGGTCTGCGCGCGCTCGGACTGAAGCGCGGCGGACCCAGACGCGCGCTCCATGACCCGTTTGCAGAGGGCGCGCTGGTTCTGTACACACCACCTCAGCTCAGCGCGCACCAGCAGCTGCACGCCGACAAGGACAAGATGGAGGTGCACGTGGTGGTCGACCCGCTCCTCGCCAACGGTGAGAGAGAGAGTGTGTGTCTCTGTCTGTCTGTGTGTAATTGTGAGGATGGTCCTCTCTTTTTCACTCCTCTGTCTGAAAACTGAATTAAAAAAACATGGTCTAGTTTTCACATAATTTATTTTTGGCCTAAGAGATTCTCTCCAGTTACTTTCTGGTCTCTTGCTACGATCTCTCTTTCTAACCCTTTGATCTCTGTTTTTTCTCTCTGATCCCCCTCTCTGGTCTCTCTCTCTGAACCCTCTCAATTAAATTAAATTTATATTGATAACCCTAAATCACAACTGTAGTTGTGTCTCGGAGAACTTCACAAAGTTGTCATTTTGTCAACACAAATCAGAGAATCAACAGTTGTTTGTTTCCTCTCACAAATACATGATGTGAAAACTAGTGATAGACTCAAGCCATTAGTTTTATTGGTATGGTCTGAAAGTTACACACCCCAGCTCTAACCTCCTCCTGTCTTGACAGTGCTGCGGCCGCACCAGCGCGAAGGCGTGCGCTTCCTGTGGCAGTGCGTGTGCGGGCGCCGTGTGGCGGGCTCGTACGGCTGCATCATGGCCGACGACATGGGGCTGGGGAAGACGCTCCAGTGCATCGCTCTGCTCTGGACCCTGCTGCGGCAAAGTCCCACCGGGAAACCACACATCCAGACCGCCATCGTGGTGTCACCCTCCAGCCTGGTGCGCAACTGGTACAACGAGGTGAGGAGAGGAGGGAGAGGAGGAGAGAAGAGGGAGGGGAGGGGAGGGAGGGGAGGGGGAGATTGACTGGTATGACGAGGTGAGGGAGGAGACAAGGTGAGACTGACTGGTTGAATCAAGGTGTGTGTGTGTTTCTGTGTGTGTGTGTGTTGCAGGTGGTGAAGTGGTTGGGCTCTCGTGTCAATCCTCAGGCCATCGATGGCGGCTCTAAAGCTGACATAGATGCTCAGATTTCTCGTTTCCTGTCTCAGCGTGGCGTCCGCGTGGCCACGCCCCTCCTCATTATCTCCTATGAGACGTTTAGACTCCACGCCACGGCCCTGCACCGCGGATCAGTGGGACTCATCATCTGTGACGAGGGACACAGACTGAAGAACGCAGACAACCAGACCTACCAGGCCCTGAACGCCATGAAAGCACAGGGACGAGTGCTCATCTCAGGTACGAGAGGGATGAGATCACAGGGACGAGTCTGCGGCTTTAGAGCCTGTCCTGAACACACTCTAGAGCAGTGGGGTGCAATTATTTTTTCCCGGGAGCCACATTGGGATATCAGTATATTGTTGAGGACCGAACTTGTTTTCATGTGGAAAGTTAATTCTGTAAAAAATTTAACAAACGTGTGTATATTACATTAGGGATACATAAATGTTTTGATGAATCATTATGAGCAATAAGCATGTCACCGTAGCACACATGTGGCACCCGGGCCTCACTTTGCCCGAGTCTGGAGCTTGTTCCTCTGACGCAGGGACCCCGATCCAGAACGACCTGCTGGAGTACTTCAGCCTGGTGCACTTTGTGAACGCCGGGATCCTGGGCACTGCCACCGACTTCAAGAAGCGTTTTGAGACTCCAATTCTCAAGAGCCGGGACGCGGACGCCAGCGACAAGGAGCGCGCGGCCGGAGCAGAGAAGCTAACCGAGCTAATCACCATCGTCAACCGCTGCCTCATCAGGAGAACCTCCGACATCCTGTCCAAGTACCTCCCCGAGAAGGTCGAGCAGGTCAGTGACCAGAGAGAGCGAGACCAGAGAGAGCGAGACCAGAGAGAGCGAGACCAGAGAGAGCGAGACCAGAGAGAGCGAGACCAGAGAGAGCGAGACCAGAGAGAGCGGGACCAGAGAGACCAGAGAGAGCGAGACCAGAGAGAGCGAGACCAGAGAGAGCGAGACCAGAGAGAGCGAGACCAGAGAGGGCGAGACCAGAGAGAGCGAGACCAGAGAGAGCGAGACCAGAGAGAGCGAGACCAGAGAGAGCGAGACCAGAGAGAGCGGGACCAGAGAGACCAGAGAGAGCGAGACCAGAGAGAGCGAGACCAGAGAGAGCGAGACCAGAGAGAGCGAGACCAGAGAGAGCGAGACCAGAGAGAGCGAGACCAGAGAGAGCGAGACCAGAGAGAGCGAGACCAGAGAGAGCGAGACCAGAGAGAGCGAGACCAGAGAGAGCGGGACCAGAGAGACCAGAGAGAGCGAGACCAGAGAGAGCGAGACCAGAGAGAGCGAGACCAGAGAGAGCGAGACCAGAGAGAGCGAGACCAGAGCGAGCGAGACCAGAGAGGGCGAGACCAGAGAGGGCGAGACCAGAGAGGGCGAGACCAGAGAGGGCGAGACCAGAGAGGGCGAGACCAGAGAGGGCGAGACCAGAGAGGGCGAGACCAGAGAGAGCGAGACCAGAGAGAGCGAGACCAGAGAGGGCGAGACCAGAGAGAGCGAGACCAGAGAGAGCGAGACCAGAGAGGGCGAGACCAGAGAGCGAGACCAGAGAGAGCGAGACCAGAGAGAGCGAGACCAGAGAGAGCGAGACCAGAGAGAGCGAGACCAGTGAGAGCGAGACCAGAGAGAGCGAGACCAGAGCGAGCGAGACCAGAGAGGGCGAGACCAGAGAGGGCGAGACCAGAGAGGGCGAGACCAGAGAGAGCGAGACCAGAGAGAGCGAGACCAGAGAGAGCGAGACCAGAGAGAGCGAGACCAGAGAGAGCGAGACCAGAGAGAGCCAGAGACCAGAGAGAGCCAGAGACCAGAGAGTGCGAGAGACCAGAGAGTGCGAGAGACCAGAGAGTGCGAGAGACCAGAGAGTGCGAGAGACCAGAGAGTGCGCGAGACCAGAGAGTGCGCGAGACCAGAGAGTGCGCGAGACCAGAGAGTGCGCGAGACCAGAGAGTGCGCGAGACCAGAGAGTGCGCGAGACCAGAGAGTGCGCGAGACCAGAGAGTGCGCGAGACCAGAGAGTGCGAGAGACTAGGTTTTGTGCTGCTGTAATGCCTCCTCCTGCATGTAGGTGGTGTGCTGCCGGCTCACTCCCCTCCAGACACGCCTCTACGAACACTTCCTGCAGCAGAACAACCCGGTGGAAAAACTACAGGACGAGAAGATCAACGTGTCGTCTCTGTCCTCCATCACCACACTGAAGAAACTGTGCAACCACCCAGCGCTGGTCTACGACAAGTGTGTGAGCGGAGAGAGAGGCTTTAGAGGTGAGAGAGAGAGGCTTTAGAGGTGAGAGAGAGAGGCTTTAGAGGTGAGAGAGAGAGGCTTTAGAGGTGAGAGAGAGAGGCTTTAGAGGTGAGAGAGAGAGGCTTTAGAGGTGAGAGAGAGAGGCTTTAGAGGTGAGAGAGAGAGGCTTTAAGGGTGAGAGAGAGAAGATTTAGAGGTGAGAGAGAGAAGATTTAGAGGTGAGAGAGAGGCTTTAGAGGTGAGAGAGAGAGAACGGCTTTAGGGGTGAGAGAGAGGCTTTAGAGGTGAGAGAGAGAGGCTTTAGAGGTGAGAGAGAGAGGCTTTAGAGGTGAGAGAGAGAGGCTTTAGAGGTGAGAGAGAGGCTTTAGAGAGTGAGAGAGAGGCTTTAGAGGTGAGAGAGAGGCTTTAGAGGTGAGAGAGAGGCTTTAGAGGTGAGAGATAGGCTTTAGAGGTGAGAGAGAGAGGCTTTAGAGGTGAGGAGAGAGAGGCTTTAGAGGTGAGAGAGAGAGGCTTTAGAGGTGAGAGAGAGAACGGCTTTAGGGGTGAGAGATAGGCTTTAGAGGTGAGAGAGAGAGGCTTTAGAGGTGAGAGAGAGAGGCTTTAGAGGTGAGAGATAGGCTTTAGAGGTGAGAGAGAGAGGCTTTAGAGGTGAGAGAAAGGCTTTAGAGGTGAGAGAGAGGCTTTAGAGGTGAGAGAGAGGCTTTAGAGGTGAGAGAGAGGCTTTAGAGGTGAGAGAGAGGCTTTAGCGGTGAGAGAGGCTTTAGAGGTGAGAGAGAGGCTTTAGAGGTGAGAGAGAGAGGCTTTAGAGGTGAAAGAGGGAGGCTTTAGAGGTGAGAGAGAGAGGCTTTAGAGGTGAAAGAGGGAGGATTTAGAGGTGAAAGAGGGAGGATTTAGAGGTGAGAGAGGCTTTAGAGGTGAGAGAGAGAGGCTTTAGAGGTGTGTGAGAGAGAGGCTTTAGAGGTGAGAGAGGGAGGCTTTAGAGGTGTGTGAGAGAGAGGCTTTAGAGGTGAGAGAGAGGCTTTAGAGGTGAGAGAGAGGCTTTAGAGGTGAGAGAGAGGCTTTAGAGGTGAGAGAGGCTTTAGAGGTGAGAGAGAGAGGCTTTAGAGGTGAGAGAGAGAGGCTTTAGAGGTGAGAGAGAGAGGCTTTAGAGGTGAGAAAGAGAAGATTTAGAGGTGAGAGAGAGAAGATTTAGAGGTGAGAGAGAGGCTTTAGAGGTGAGAGAGAGAGAACGGCTTTAGGGGTGAGAGAGAGGCTTTAGAGGTGAGAGGAGAGAGGCTTTAGAGGTGAGAGAGAGAGGCTTTAGAGGTAGAGAGAGAGAGGCTTTAGAGGTGAGAGAGAGGCTTTAGAGGTGAGAGAGAGGCTTTAGAGGTGAGAGAGGCTTTAGAGGTGAGAGATAGGCTTTAGAGGTGAGAGAGAGAGGCTTTAGAGGTGAGAGAGAGAGGCTTTAGAGGTGAGAGAGAGAGGCTTTAGAGGTGAGAGAGAGAACGGCTTTAGGGGTGAGAGATAGGCTTTAGAGGTGAGAGAGAGAGGCTTTAGAGGTGAGAGAGAGAGGCTTTAGAGGTGAGAGATAGGCTTTAGAGGTGAGAGATAGGCTTTAGAGGTGAGAGAGAGAGGCTTTAGAGGTGAGAGAAAGGCTTTAGAGGTGAGAGAGAGGCTTTAGAGGTGAGAGGCTTTAGAGGTGAGAGAGAGGCTTTAGAGGTGAGAGAGAGAGGCTTTAGAGGTGAAAGAGGGAGGCTTTAGAGGTGAGAGAGAGGCTTTAGAGGTGAAAGAGGGAGGATTTAGAGGTGAAAGAGGGAGGATTTAGAGGTGAGAGAGGCTTTAGAGGTGAGAGAGAGAGAGGCTTTAGAGGTGTGTGAGAGAGAGGCTTTAGAGGTGAGAGAGGGAGGCTTTAGAGGTGAGAGAGGCTTTAGAGGTGAGAGAGAGAGGCTTTAGAGGTGAGAGAGAGAGGCTTTAGAGGTGAGAGAGAGAGGCTTTAGAGGTGAGAGAGAGGCTTTAGAGGTGAGAGAGAGAGGCTTTAGAGGTGAGAGAGAGAGAGGCTTTAGAGGTGAGAGAGAGGCTTTAGAGGTGAAAGAGGGAGGATTTAGAGGTGAAAGAGGGAGGATTTAGAGGTGAAAGAGGGAGGATTTAGAGGTGTGTGAGAGAGAGGCTTTAGAGGTGAGAGAGAGGCTTTAGAGGTGAGAGAGAGGCTTTAGAGGTGAGAGAGAGGCTTTAGAGGTGAGAGAGAGAGGCTTTAGAGGTGAGAGAGAGAGAGGCTTTAGAGGTGAGAGAGGCTTTAGAGGTGTGTGAGAGAGAGGCTTTAGAGGTGAGAGAGGGAGGCTTTAGAGGTGTGTGAGAGAGAGGCTTTAGAGGTGAGAGAGAGAGGCTTTAGAGGTGAGAGAGAGAGGCTTTAGAGGTGAAAGAGGGAGGATTTAGAGGTGAGAGAGGCTTTAGAGGTGTGGTCACTGTGACGTCCTGTAGTGACCCTCTCCCTCCCGCAGGTGCGCTGGACCTCTTCCCCTCGTCCTTCGACCCTCGCTGCCCTCAGCCTCAGCTCTCCGGTAAGATGCTGGTTCTGGACCTGATCCTGGCCTTCACCAAAAGCACCACGAGCGACAAAGTGGTGCTGGTGTCCAACTACACGCAGACGCTCGACCTGCTGGAGGTGCTGTTCCGCAACAGGAAGTACACGTACGTGCGACTGGACGGAGCCATGTCCATCAAGAAGAGAGCCAAGATGGTGGAGCGCTTCAACCGGCCGGACAGCGGGGACTTCATCTTCATGTTGAGCAGTAAAGCTGGGGGGTAAGTGTGAGAGAGCTGCTGTGAGAGAGCTGCTGTGAGAGAGCTGCTGTGAGAGAGCTGCTGTGAGAGAGCTGCTGTGAGAGAGCTGCAGAGTGAGAGCTGCAGAGAGAGAGAGCCATAGAGAGAGAGCTATGTCTTCATGCTGAGCAGTGAGGACCAGTGAGATCAGACACATCTGCACATGAAATCCTCAGAAAGCGTTTCTTATTAGTTCTTTTGAAGGAAACTGTTGAACCAGAGAAAAGCTTCCCTATGTTTCCGCAGCTGTGGCCTCAACCTGATCGGCGCAAACCGTCTGGTGATGTTCGACCCGGACTGGAACCCGGCCAACGACGAGCAGGCCATGGCACGGGTTTGGAGGGACGGCCAGAAGAAGAGCTGCTTCATCTACCGCCTGCTGTCCACCGGGACCATCGAGGAGAAGATCTTGCAGCGGCAGAGCCACAAGAAGGGGCTGAGCAGCGCCGTCGTGGACCAGAAGGGGCCGAGCAGTGCCACAGGAGAGGCCCAGGCTGAGGTCCAGGCTGAGGTCCAGGCAGACACGCTCTTCTCTCTGGGGGAGCTGCGTGAACTCTTCAGCCTGAACCAGAACACGGTCAGCGACACGCACGAGCGCCTCAAGTGCCGGCGCTGTGTGAACGGGGCCCAGGTGCAGCGCCCCCCTCTGGACGCAGACTGTAACAGCAGCCTCGCACACTGGCACCACACCACCCAAAGGAAACACCTCAGCGACCATGTGCTCAAGATGTCCTGGGAGCCCGCGGTCAGCTTTGTGTTCCACCAGCAGGCGCACATCAAGGACTGAGGCCGGACTGAAGATGTGCTTCTCTACATTGGTCTCGTCACCAACATAAACCCTGTGGCGGCTGTAAACTAATATAATTATTTATTTTGTCAATATTAAAAATAAAACCCGATGAGTCTCTTCTCCTCATTTCAGCTTCAGGTCTTTTGGGGTCTGACTCCACAATCTTTGTCTATTCACAGACTGACACATTTTTTCCCCATTCCTCTTTACAAAACAGTTCAGTCAAATTATAGATGAGTGTTTGTGTTTAGGTCTGGACTGAAACATAATTGTCCTTTACCCGTTCTATAAGATGCTGCTTTTTGCCTGAACTTTGAACTTATACTTATATTTTACCATCAGAAATGATGAATAGTTCAGAAAGTCTGATCCGGGCGCCAGAACTCACCACGTGGAGCTAATCTCACTGGTAAAGTACCATGTGGCGCAGAACTAAAAAAGGTCTCGTTATGATTCTCAAATATTTAATGACAAAACCAGGAGTAAAACTAGGATTTCTATCTTTGTGAAAGTGGAGCACAGATAAACGTCAGCTCTTTGAAAGAAGTGGTTGTAATTTCTAATGTGTGGGTGTGTCATAGCATCGGTGTATCCCCAAATTATTATCACACGTGTGCAGAAGAAAATTGTCATTTTCTTAATTACAATTGTCTGACATGTATTTTTTTGTTACGCAGATATGGTTAAGTTTAAAGGACTTCATTAATAATATCTTTGTGTAAATATCTCATAATAGTTTTTTGGTTCTCTGTAGAGACATGAAAGTGAAAAGTGGAAACTTGAAAGATAAGAACATTAAGACATGAACATCTGAGCTACAGTGTTGTGTGACTGCAGTGCTTTGTTTGCTGCAGAATATTATATTTTTGTAAGGCTCAAAATAAAGAGATCTATTCAATTTTCAGTATTATAATGTGGAATAGTTGAGGTTTATAATCCGGTGTGGCTTGTACAAGTACAACTTTTATTTTATTTCCAAAGATTAGAGCCTGTATCTTATGATCAGGTGCAGCCTATAGTCCCTGATCACCTTTCCTGTCTTGACCCTTTATCATTTAAACACTAATTCAGGTTTTTGTGTTCCATTGGACTTACTCCGGTCTCCCTGGTCTCGTTCTGATCTTTCTCTCTCTGGTCTCTCTCTGGTCTCTCCCTGGTCTCTGATCTCTCTCTGGTCTCTCTTTCTGGTCTCTCTCTGGTCTCTCCCTGGTCTCACTCTGATCTTTCTCTTTCGGACTCTCTCCAGTCTCTGATCTCTCTCTCTCTGGTCTCTCCCTGGTCTTGTTCTGATCTTTCTCTCTCTGGTCTCTCCCTGGTCTCTCTCTGGTCTCTCTCTCGTCTCTCTCTGGTCTCTCTCTGGTCTCTCCCTGGTCTTGTTCTGATCTTTCTCTCTCTGGTCTCTCTCTCTGGTCTCTCTCCCTGGTCTCTCCCTGGTCTCACTCTGATCTTTCTCTTTCGGACTCTCTCTGGTCTCTCCCTGGTCTAACTCTGATCTTTCTCTTTTGGACTCTCTTGTGTCTCTGATCTCTCTCTCTCTGATGATCTCTCTTGCTGTGTATTTGGCTCCCCCATCTTCCATTAACTCTGACTTCTCCCTTGTCCCTGCTGAAGAAAAGCAGCCCCACAGCATGACGCACCCCCTTGAGCCTGTCTGATGTGGCCGTGTTAGTCTCGGGCTCCTCTAAGACCGAAGACCGGAACAGGACGTTCCTGAGGGACGCAGGACTTTGGACTAAAGACAGGAACAGAAGCAGCTCGGTCAGCACAAACTCACCCGAGCATAAACATGAGGATGTTTTCTGAACGAGTCCAAAGATGACGAGATAATGTGGTGATGGTCAGGAGCTCACAGGCCCCTCCCCCTCAGAGCAATGGGGGTCTTGTCTGACGTCATTAACACATGAATCGTCTCAGTCTTTAATTCACAGTGCTTCAATCACAGCTACATTTTTACACACATAAAATAACATGTTTTACCCTCTAACAACAGCACAACACAAGTTTCTCAAATCTCAATCCACCGCCTCCTCCATCGTGTCCTGGGACCGGAGCAACGGCTCTACTCCGAGCTCCTCACACAGACACTCCTTCGTGTCCTTTGAGTCATTAGCATCTTGTCTTTACAGTCTGTCTTTGTGTCGCCCCCTGCTGGTGACAGCCAGATCCCACCTCTGAAGTTCAGCAGGACAGACAGTGGTTCTGTGATGGGAGACCTCTGGGTCCAAGAACCACAATGGGGCAGCTGTAGAGTGACAAACTGTCATTGTGTCCTTTGGCAAGGCACTTCCTCCACTTTATCTATAATGAGTCTAGTGTGTGAATTGTTGGTGGTGGTGGGAGGGGCCACGAGCACAGACTGGTTGCCCCACTTCTATTAGTGTGCCCCAGGGCAGCTGTGGCTATAGTTGTAGTTCATCACCACTGTTTGTGGAGCGAGTTAAGGATCTTTGAGCATCCAGAAAACCGCTGTAACCCAGTCTGACTAACACTGAATCCCTCTGTGTCGTCACCCACAGGCCTTTCAGAACGCTCAGTGTAATGGCGGCAAATTCCTCAAGCGTTAAAAGTACAAAAGAGTTGTTTAAAATTGACTTCTTTACATACACTGAACCACACAAGCTCAAAGGGTCAGAAAATGACCCTGGAGGTCTTGGACTCCTCGTGCACCTGCGCCTCCATCTTGTCCTCGTTCTCCTCCTCCACCGCGTCCTTCTTCAGTTTGTTCAGTGGCCACCAGAGGGCGCCATCAGCCGGCGCAGACCTGCCTCCCACGCAGCAGGGGCCGCCCGTGTCTCCAGTCAGGAAGTAGAGCAGCGCGTTGAGCCAGGCGTTGCAGGAGGCGAGTGGGCGCGTCAGCTTGTAGCACACGGACACGATCTGCACCAGGCCGCAGTCTGCTGAGTGTGCACGCCGCAGCAGCAGGAACAGCGTGCGCGTCACGTGGAACGGCAGGAAGCAGAGCGCGAACAGCAGCGTGATGGTGACGATGGTGCGCACAGACTTCCTGCGGCGTCGAGCGTAGTGCGAGTACTGCGAGTCGGCCACGGACAGAGACGCACGCGACGCGCGCTCTGCGGCATCAGCCGCCTGCACATCGTCAGCTGCTGAAGAAGAAGAGGAGCGCAGGGTGTGGACGATGGTGCGCACCACCTGCAGGAGAGCCATGGTATTACAGCCTGTCTCATACACCTACAAACAGTATTCTGTGATGTTTGACTAAAAGCCGCTATTTCTAGTTCTTTGAACTATTGTGGTAGAGTTGTCAGAGCAGAGTTTATGAACTTCTATTTTTGTCTTGTAGTAGTAGTAAGTAGTAAGTAAGCTTTATTTATATACCGCCTTTCACAGACCAGAGTCACAAAGCGGTTTACAATTGTTATTTTTTGGGCACTTGTCCTCTCACTCCACACAGAGATGGGAGCGGGGTCTCCGAACAGGAGGCGCATGCCAGACCTATTGTACATATTTTTAGTGGTAGGGGAAACCGGAGAACCCGGAGGAAACCTACGCAGACATGGGGAGAACATGCAAACTCCACTCAGAAAGGCCCTGGTCCGGCCGGGATTTGAACCCAGGACCTTCTTGCTGAGAGGCGAGAGTGCTATCCACTCAGCCACCGTGCCGTCTTAATCAAGTTTTATTCGCTACAGGACACATTGTCAAAAATAGTCATTGAATCATGCTGTGGCCAGTTATAACAGTCGTCTCTGCTACATTATAACAGGATTTTCATGATTTACATTTTTCAAATGTAGGTGGTGCAGTTTATTGAGCAGAAAGTTCGATAATGTGGCAGTAACAGCAGCAGTGACAGCAGCAGCAGTAACAGCAGCAGTAACAGCAGCAGCAGTAACAGCAGCAGCAGTAACAGCAGCAGTAACAGCAGCAGCAGTAACAGCAGCAGTAACAGCAGCAGTAACAGCAGCAGCAGTAACAGCAGCAGTAACAGCAGCAGTAACAGCAGCAGCAGTAACAGCAGCAGTAACAGCAGCAGCAGTAACAGCAGCAGTAACAGCAGCAGCAGTAACAGCAGTACCTGTGAGTAGCACCAGGCGATGACCACAAAGGGGATGAAGAATCCAATCAGATGCAGAGCGACGCCGTACGGGATGTAGTGGTCAAGCTCGCGATCGATGGCGTCGTCCCAGCAGTTCACGTACGCAGAGGAGTTTGTGGTCTGGTCCCAGGACAGGTCTGAGTCCGGGTCCCGGTTCTGGCCCTGATTCTGGTCCAAGGGTTTGGACCGAGACACTAGGCCGGTCTGAGCGAAACGGAAGATGGGACACGTGAGAGCGAACACCAGCAGCCACACGAGGGCGCACACGAGGCGGACCGCACGCTTACTCTGCAGAGACACGGTGCGCATGGGGTGGCAGATGCCCAGGTACCTGAGGGCAGAGCACAGGGACAAGCACTCAGAGGGACAGGTACTCCCAGGTTACAACCGGACACACCTGAAGAAATGGGTAAAGCCTTCCCGTCGCCCCTGACTGGCCCCTTCCCTTGATTCTGACCCCTTGCCTCTAGCCCTCCCCTTGCTCTGGCCCCGCCCCTTGCCTCTGATTGGCTCACCTGTGCACGGAGATGCAGGTGAGGAAGAAGATGGAGCAGTAGAGGTTGAAGTAGAAGAGGAAGCGCACCAGGCGGCAGGTGAAGTCACCAAACACCCAGCGGTCACGCAGCGCGTAGCTGTGCACAAGGAAGGGCAGCGACAGGCCATACATCAGGTCTGTGGTTGCCAGGTTCACCATGTAAATCAGCGATGTGGTCCAGCGGCGGCGAGAGCGACACGCGCGCACCAGCACCACCGAGTTCAGCGACACGGAGAACAGCAGCGTCAGCGAGTAGCACACGGGCAAAAACACGTATTTGTACGACTCGTCCAGGCTGCAGGGGGGCGGGGCCGGGGGAGGGGCCACTGTGGTGGAGGGGCGAGGGGCCACGAAGGAGAGGGGAGGGGCGGTCATGGTGGGGAGGGCCCAAAGGAAATGCGGTGTTGAGGTCGAAAAAAACAAAACAAAATGAGTCCGATGAGTAAAATGTGGAAAAACTTTAAAAAATGCTGTTCCACACAAAATGCAATGATTTGAATTATGTTTTTTGTGACAATGAAATATATGTCAGAATGGTGGGTTTTTAAAGTGCGTCATAACTGGATCTGGGTTAATAAAGAAAAATATGTGTGTTTGTGTCTGTGTGTGTTGCAGTGTGCTCCTGTGTGCGTCTGTGTTACTGTGTGTGAATGTGTGTGTGTGTGTGTGTGTGTGTGTGTGTGTGTGTGTGTGTGTGTGTTCAGATACTACAGCTGTGTACAAAGGGAAATGCAAAGTGTACTTATGCAGATGAGGCGTTTGGATCCGGGTGTGGTCCAAGATCCACGTCTTCAGATCAGACTCACAAACGCGTGAGGAACTCCTGCAGACGTTATAAAGCTGGGGTATGTAACTTTAGTCTTTCATTGACAACACATTTAGCGTATCTCCGCATAATGATCAAATCAGATCACAACATGCTAATGCATACTAATTGACTCTTTGGGCTGAGAGCTGATTGGCTGAGTGAGGGTGGTCCTCTGAAAGGGCTGATTTAAAGATGTGACAGGTTAGAATGACATGAAGTGAAAACTGGTGATAGAAGGAACTGTTTTAGAGCCAGGAACCAGAGACCACAGAGAGAGACCAGGGAGAGACCAGAGAGAGAGACCACAGAGAGAGACCAGGGAGAGACCAGAGAGAGAGACCACAGAGAGACCACAGAGAGAGACCATAGAGAGAGACCAGAGAGAGAGACCACAGAGAGAGACCAGAGAGAGAGACCACAGAGAGAGACCAGAGAGAGACCACAGAGAGACCACAGAGAGAGACCAGAGAGAGAGACCAGGGAGAGACCACAGAGAGAGACCAGAGAGAGAGACCACAGAGAGAGACCACAGAGAGACCACAGAGAGAGACCAGAGAGAGAGACCACAGAGAGAGACCAGGGAGAGACCACAGAGAGAGACCAGAGAGAGACCACAGAGAGAGACCACAGAGAGAGACCAGAGAGAGAGACCACAGAGAGAGACCACAGAGAGACCACAGAGAGACCAGAGAGAGAGACCACAGAGAGAGACCACAGAGAGAGACCACAGAGAGACCACAGAGAGAGACCAGAGAGAGAGACCACAGAGAGAGACCACAGAGAGAGACCAGGGAGAGACCACAGAGAGAGACCACAGAGAGACCAGAGAGAGACCACAGAGAGACCAGGGAGAGACCACAGAGAGACCAGAGAGAGACCAAAGAGAGACCAGAGAGAGATCAGGGCGACACCAAGCCCTGTGAGTCACTATTTGGCTCTTTGAGGGTGGTCCTCTCTCTCTCTTTTTCTCTTTTCCGTTGCAAAAGCAGTGACAGAGTCCAATAAAAAAGCCTGTATTGATGTTAAAAGCAGAAAATCAGGTACCCCAGCTTTAATATGTGAATTCAAATAAGCCAAATCATGTCCTCATCCTGGAGTCTAAATAATGCAAAAACTGTTCCACTCTTTTGGGACAACAATGTGGAAGAGAAATCCAACTCCAACTTCAAATATCTTTAATTATACAAACGTGATAGAAGACGTTCTGTGTAGTGTTTTAAAATACTTGGGACTTTGAGGAATAACACCAGCTTTGGAAAGATGTGACGTAAGATTAGCTTAGCTCTAGAATTAGCTTAGCTTGAGCCTTAGCTTAGCTCCAGAGTCAACATGCACCCGGTTACAATTTTGTTTTACTCTTTTTTTTTTTGGCTAAACAAAGTCTTGTTTATCCCACGGTTTGAGAAATAATTTATTGTTTATAATTTTTTGTTATTGTGCGAGTTTTAATGAGCATTATCTTTTCACATTAGCATTTAGCTTTTGCATTAGCGTTCACATAGGCAGTTGCATAACTCACATTAGCATTAGCATAATGTTAGCTGGCTCTTACTTTCATCAGGCGATATGAGACATCCAGAGCTCATGCAATTTCTCTGGAGCTTAGAGAACAGGTGGAAGGGATCTGATCAGCACCCTGGTGAGAACAGCATCAGAGACTCTGTGTTTAGAACTGCATATGTCACGATTTGGTCCTACACCACCAAAAATACTTCCACTCTTAGGAAATGATGCAACCAGATAAAAGTTAACAGTGTTTTAATGTATTTCATTCAACGCTAAAAGCAACGTATTTTAAAAGAGTCAATGGAGTCTAAAAATAGGTCTAAGCCTGTTTCTCCAGTAAAAGTATGTACAATATATACAAGGAGCGCCTAAACTACTTTGGGGAGGGGAGTAAGGGGGATAACACGACGTCCAGAGGAGAGGGTTGAGCAGTCCAGTCTGTGAGGGCCCGTCCACAATCACGCCCCTCTAAAATGGCCTGTGGACAAGGGAGATTCTCAATGCCAGCCAGGTACGACAAAACACACAGGGCACAGGAGTAGCAGAGTAAGTGGGGAAGCGTCCCTTTTACTTATCTGGCGTGCGCAGTCTAGCCACCCCGGGCTGGTCTGGTCCGCTGCTGATCCAGGCCGAGCTGGCTCCGCGTACCAGTCTGCCCGCACTCCCAGAGCGCGCGTCTGCCTACGTCTGTCCGAGCCTCGGTCACACTGGTTGGGGGGACAGGGGAAATCACACTTAAAAACACCACACTGCACACACACTGCAAATTCCCCAACGACAGTGAGAGGCTGCAGACGTCCCTTTACTTAGCTTGGTGCTGGCCTTTTCTTCACACTCCTGGTGGGCTCCGAGAGTGCGCGCGCGCAGATTGGATGTGCGTCTCGAACCCTGGCGTCCTGTAAATCCCTGGGCCGCTCCTGCTGCACCGCGTCCGTCCGCCACAGAAGACTCGCGACCCGTCTCGTCTGTTCCGCGCTGATCCTGGTGCCGCTCCGGGCTGGTACCGGGGCTGGTACAGGGGCTGCTCCTGGGGCCGCTCCTCGAGTGTCCTGCGTGTTCCTTTCTGCGTGTCCCTGCTGTCGAGTCTCGTCTCAAGCTCTGCTTCAGTTTCCGCGTTCCTTGAGGGCCGGCTCTGGGCGGTTTATATAGTTCATCCTATAGATCTGCGTCCAATAGTATGCCGCTATAGGTCTATTGGGGGGGGGGCGTGGTTACAGTCTGCGGTGCTCCACTCGCTAAAGTCATTCTGTAGCCCCTGCAAACTACACACTGCACACAAGGTATACGGTGGCTATAGGCAAATGGTTAATGTGCATAGAGTTTTCAGCCCATACCTCGCCATTTGACACATATTTTGTTACAAAAGTGAACAGACCGTTTGCGGATCAATTGAGCTTCAGCAAATAAAGGGAGTCAAGGTGGGCACAAATCTGCTCTCACGGTACAGTTGCACAAAGATTCTGCAACATAGAGACAAATAAATGCAGATTATTATAGTTCATAGCATTGCTCCCTCCTCAAACAAATTGACTGTTCTCATTGATGAGGCGATGTCAGTGAGCCACAAAACTGCAATGATTGTTGTTACAGTGCTATAGTGCAATGTTGGCTCTACTTTCTAGGGTTACGCAACATTTAAATAAAGGCAGAGCCACTTGAGACCACACAGTACAATCACCTGTCTCCTGTCTCGTGTTATTGCTAACGCTAATCATGTCTGAAGAACACCGGGCACGACTTCCCGTGTGCAACCTGCAGAGGAGTCAACAGTTGTGAATATAAAAGCCTGTGTGAATGGAGCTGCTCCTGAATTCATGTTTTTGGAGTTAGAGGAACTGTAGAGTCAGAGAGCTGAAAGCATAGAAGAAGCTTTGTTGACCTGTTGGAACTATAAGCAGGATTTAAGGATGAATGGCTTTAATAAAATCTCCATTTGTTTCTGATGGAGCCAGTGTTATGTTGGGGAGAAGCTCTGGTGTAGCAACCCGGCTAACTGCAAGATACTCAAAGCTTTTTACATGGCATTGCATGAACCAGTGTTTAGAGCTGTATCTGATTCTGTTGACGATGTTGTGTCAGTTAATCACTATTAACTCATTCATGGAGAAGATTCAAAACCTATACAGTCAGTCAACCAAAAATGCTCGTGAACTTTTGGAAGCGGCTCAGGAATTAGGATCATGAAGAAGTGCAAAAAAAAGGTCGAGTGTTAGATACCAGAGAGGTGGCAGTAGGCTGTGTGGAGAAGCTATGAGGCCCTCAACAGACACTTTGAAATGGCTGCAGGAGACAACACCAGAAGTGCTATGGAGAGGCAAACCTATAGAGGTCTCGGAATAGTTTCTTTGTGACCTTGGACTAATGCATGATGCCCTATCTGAACTGTCCAATCCATCTGAGCAACTTCAGGTTCATTCCATTACACTTACAAGGGCAGAGCACCTCATGAAGAGAACCATCAGAGTGTTGACGTCCTTCAAAGAATCCACAGAAGAAAATTCATTGGAAGCAATGAGGGCACAAGCTTCAAACTATCTTGGATCTGTTGCATTTGAGTCAAATGGAAAGCTGGAATCTATTGTTGCTAAACAGTTCCTGCAAAGTTTGATCAACAGTATGGAGAAGCGTCCTTCATTTCAAAGTGAAAGTCTCCATGATCTCAGCATTCTAGACCCAAAAAACTGGCCCCTAACTCCTGATTTACGCTACGATGAGGAAGAAGTGAGGCGCCTGTGCCAACAATTTAACATTTGTGAAGATAAAGCAATTAACGGTATGAGAGATTATCTTGAGAATCCTAAAAGAAAGATGTGAAACAACTCATAAAATGCATGGATCCCCTGCAGTAAAGCTGAATGTGAAAGGGGCTTTAGTGTTATGAACAATGTGTGCACAGACAAAAGATCCTTACTATTGCAATATAATGTTACTAATCTGATGGTGAGCTGCATTAATGAGCCTCCTGTCAGCCTTTTCAACCCAAGGAAGTATGTCACCACCTGGTTGAGAGAACATCACTCTGGCACACAAGCAAGGAGACCAAAGACACAAAAAGCCTAGCCTGACTCTCGCCAGACCCTTGTGGTTCGCTGAGCTTCACCCAAGGGTCTGGGTGAGGTGGGCTGGAGGCAATCCACGATTACCTCAATCATCAGCAAGAAGGATTGAAAAGCCACTGCAGTGAGCCCAGCTGTGCCAGATCCTAAACTCTGCCAGTCAGTGTTACTTTTATAGCGCTATTTTTGACTACCCCCAGCTCAGCAGAGATACAACCAGCCCAGCCTCGAACTCGGGCGACATACAGGTCCTGCAGCGATTGGAGGCTGCGGCCGATCACCTTCTCTGTAGAGCACACGATGGCTGTCGTCTCTGCTTGTCCCTGACTGTGGCTCCAGCGAACCACACAGTGATGGAAGAGGTGAGGGAGGAGTTGAGCTGCCGCAGGAAGTACATCCTCTGCTGGGCCTTCTTGATGAGGGAGCTGATGGTCGGCTCCCTCTTGAGGTCCTGGGTGATGGTGGTGCCCAGGAAACGATAGGACTCCACAGAGGTGATCTTCTTCTTCTTCTTTATTTATTTATTTACCGCCTTTCACAGACCAGAGTCACAAAGCGGTTTACAATTGTTATTTTTTGGGCACTTGTCCTCTCACTCCACACAGAGATGGGAGCGGGGTCGCCGAACAGGAGGCGCATGCCAGACCTATTGTACATATTTTTAGTGGTAGGGGAAACCGGAGTACCCGGAGGAAACCTACGCAGACACGGGGAGAACATGCAAACTCCACTCAGAAAGGCCCTGGTCCGGCCGGGATTCGAACCCAGGACCTTTTTGCTGAGAGGCGAGAGTGCTATCCACTCAGCCAGGGGGAGTCCATCACGGAGGGTGGGGGCGGGGGGACAGTGCTCTTCCTGAAGTCCACAATCATCTCCACTGTCTTCTGGGCGTTCAGCTCCAGGTTGTTACCTCTGCACCAGGACACCAGCCGGTCCACCTCCCTCCTGTAGGCGGACTCATCGTTGTTGGAGATGAGTCCAATGAGAGTGGTGTCGTCCGCGAACTTGATCAGCTTCACGGAGTCGTGGCTGGAGGTGCAGTGGTTGGTGTACAGGGAGAAGAGCAGGGGAGAAAGAACACAGCCCTGTGGGGTGTGGTGACAGTTTTTGGAGTAATTACATAAAACCAGCCGCAGCTAATACACGGACGTCAAAGGCCTTTTATCAAGGCAGAGACGACCTTCTGGCGCCATGCTGAGCTTTGTGAGGGCCCCTGCTGTCTGTCACACCCTTGTGTCTTTCGTATCTTGAATCTGCATGCCTGCTTCTATCCATATGTCCCTGCTGCCAGGAAGGAGCCGGGCCCCCCCCGACACCTACAGACAATGGCGATCACTCTTGCCCCCTTTCACCTCTTGCATATGTATCGGTCTGTATGTGTGCACTCTCTACATCCTGCAGTCTGTTTGCATCCCTATGCGCCTCCTGCACCGGTGGCCCCCCTCCCATCTGTTGTGGGCGGGACTGGCTTTCGTGTGTGTCTTGTATACAGGAAGCTCGGGGCTCTGGCCCCGAGAGCTGGGACATGCTGCTTTTGGAGTGTATGTGCTGGCTCTCCGCACGTGCGTTAAACAATAAACTTACGCTTTTGATCAGACAAAGGACCTTTGAGTTTTCTCCTTCATGGGGTATATATTTCTATAACAATTTGGCGTTGCTGACATGTCTTGGCATGGATACTTTCGGCGGGGACGAGCGGCTTTGTTTGGCCGACCTGGATCACCAGCCTCTGTTCCTTTTTGGAGACAAAGGAGGGCGCGCTCGTCCCGCGCACGGAAGGAATCCTTTTGCCACACAAGACCAAAAAGAACCTAATCTGGTGAGTCTTGTCTTTTCATCTGCGTAAACGAGCCCAGGGCAAACTTAAGTGTACACGGGGATTTGTTTATTTATGTATTTTTGGGGTATTTCATTCATTGCCACAGCATAGTCTGTGTGCGGGATTTTTTTGGGGGCTTTTGTTCTAGATTGAAGCTAGCGGCTGCGCGTTAGTATCGTCCTGTAGGCGACCCTGATAATTTCTCCAAGTGTCTTCAGCCAGACCCGCTCCATTTCAAGAACGCGCGCTCGCTGGTTGAACCAGCGAGGGGGGAATGGAGCGCCCCAAAGTGGGTAGGAGCAGGGAACAGACTAAGCGGGTTAGGCCCATTGTTCGTACGAGGAAATGGGTAAAAATCAATCTAGGAGATGCAAGCTATGGAGTGCTTGCCTATGGTGCAGGCCATTACGCATCTTGCGTGATAATTTAGAAGAAGAAGGGAAGAAAAAATATACTTGGTTTTAAGAATATCACGGCAAAAGAGGTTAGAGAAAGAAATATGTAAAAACAATAGCTCCTCCGCCTTTCACCGAAGCGGAGAACACAGAGGCGGACACACACACACACACACATCCCCCACACCCCCACCCTACCGCCCTTTTTTCCCCTACTAACAATAAGTGTGCACCCAAACAAGGCGTTGGGTTCTTAAAAAAATGAAGCAGACTACTGTTGTCTCTTTTTCCCTCTCCCTTATCCAGGTCTGTCGGCGCCTTTCCTCCGCGCTCTCCCTCTGCCTCAAAGCACCAGCCCCACGCCCCAACCACAGGCGGCGCCCGCACCAGCTGAGACCCCGCGAGAAGTGGGCCCAAACCCGGGAGCAGAAGAAGAAGAGGCGGAAGCAGATACACGCTCAGGAAACCACAGAAGAAGAAGCGGGGGAGCAAATATGTGAGACACCGAGAACTGCTTTGGAGCACAGAGAGAAACTGCTACAAATCCCGTGACTGTTCTCCACGGAGGGGGCAGCGTGAAACACAAAACGCACCCGCGGAAACCCCGTTGACAGTTGCCCCCGCACCGCAAACAGAAGAAGCCAAAAGTACCGGCACGTTTGGGTTATTCACCAACCCTCATGGACCACAGGCTAACGCTTTGGGCTACCTGGGCCTCCTGCGGACTTTGAGAAACTTCCACAGCCCGGCGGAAAGACTGTGTGCTCGACATGGGTCGAAGGACTGTCACCGGAGGAGGCGTTAAAGGCAGAGACACACGGGGCCAGAGGACGGCAGAGGCGGGCGTGGAGGAAACACGAGCGACTGACCAAACCTGGG